AATATACGACTAACTCTAGTAGACCCCCTAGTGGTAACTAGTTTCTTGTTTTGAGCCGATTTTAAATTAGAATTAATATTTGGACCATTCTTAGTTGGTTCTGGAACTGGATATTTCCTAGGCCGCCCGCGGCCTCTGGAAACTTTACCACTAGATGAAGATTCATTTGCACTTGTTGTTTTTGTAGTAGGTTGCATTGGTTTATTCAAATTTTTTTTTTTTTCTTGTGTTTTTTTCTTATCGACTTTCTTATCCATTGACGAATCTGAATCTGAAGTTTCTAGATAAAAAATTAATTTATTAATAAGTAATATATATTTTAATAAAAAAAAAAAAATGATAACCAATGTTGATTAAGTTTTATAAAAATAAACTAACATGAACTCCAAGAATACAATAGTTATTTTAATAAAAACTTAAAATAAATATCTATAAAAGATAATGGTTGTTTAAGATATTGTAATGACTCTTCAAGTATAATCGAAAGTATAATTAATAAAGCATAGCAATTGGAAATTTAGTAAAAAAAAAAATACAAAAAATAAATTCAAAAGTTTAAAAATACTTAATACTAAATACTAGATTTATTTATTTATTTATTGTTTTATTTTTACTATTTATTACCCCATAAATAATTGATTTTAATAAAAACATTTTTAAGGAAATAATTAAAAATTAAAAAAAAAAAAATACTTATTCTACTCATTATATTTTTAAAATGTAATTAAAACATTGGTATTGTTTTGTATCAATTTCTTCATAATCATTGCGTGTATTTTAAAAATGTCTATCTACATGGTTCACTCAAATTTATATTATTAACTATGGTGGTACCCTCTAAAACTGATGGAAAATTTTGATAAAAATTACCTCATTAAAAACCAACCAAAAAATCCACTGTTCATCAAAATTACAGACTTATCAAACTTACTGTGATTTGACATGGAATGCCCCATATACAACATGCATGTACACATTATATATTTAATTATGAATAGAAATAAATAGTTATAATTCATAATTGTACTAACCAGAACTTGCTGATGTTAATGTTGATGTTTTAGTAGTTGGTGAATGTTTTTTTAGTGTTGCCATTGCTTTTGGTCTAGGTTTTACTAATGCTTTTTGTGTAGCGGCACTTTTCATTGGCGTAAGTTTTGGAGGTGGAGGATCACTATCACTACTGTTTAACTTGTCGGGACTGAAAATGCTTTTTGACTTTGTATCAGATCTCTTTACTCCATCAACAGCAGTAGCCTTAGATCGGGGTCCTTGATTACGTTTAACATCACCTTTTTTGTTTTTATCCTGAGCCTTTAAAGCTGCTGCTACTGCTGCACTGGATTTAGGTTTTACATGAGGAATTTTTTTTTTACTTTTTATATCGGGATCTGTATCTGAATCTGTGTAAATAGCAGCTGTCAATTTGGGAGCTGAATTATTATTATTCTTACTTTTAAATTTGTCAGGTGAAGTTTGTTTTTTGGTAAGTTCAGGAGCTTTAGGTTCTATAGTGGTAGAAGCTTTTTTCTTTGGCGATTTCATTGGTGACTTCATTGGTGATTTTTTATTTTTGTCTTTTTCCAAATGTTTTTCGGACTCAGATGAATTATTTTCAGTGGTAGACGTATTCTCAGTATCAGATGAACTCGATGAATCAGATCCTGATGTTGATGATGATGAACTAGTTGAAGTGTTAGAACTGGATTCTGTACTTGATGCTAAATTTTTACGTCCTGTAGATTTTGGTGGAGTTGATGACTTGTTTGCCGAAGTACCACCATCCTAAAATTACATAAATACAAATGTATTCAGTATTTAAAATAATTAATATAGAACAAACTAATAATTTAAGCAAATTATTTTATAAAAATTAATTATTAATATTAAAGGATATAATTTATGTTTCCTTTTTACGTGGTAATATGAAGTGAACTACTACTAATGAGTATATAAAATAATAATAATATGTTCAAATAAGTTTTTTATGCAACAATAACAATATTCAAAAAAAAGTACTTAATATTTTAGCATTTTTTTTTTTTTATTAATTTTTTTAAGCTCACTTAATTTATTTTGAATAATGCGTGTTAACTGTTTATAGCAGATTGATATCTAAATTTAAATCTTAATTAAATTTATCTCATGCATTACCTACCAAAATTATTATTTTCTTTTGTTTGCTAAACATTTGTGAAAAATGAAATAATACTTCAAATGCATAATCACAATTTGTTGATGCAACAAAACAATGAGTTGTTGGTTTTTACTTTAATAAACTATGAACAAGTAATATTATTATACGACTTTCAATTAAAAATTATAAAACTACCTACCATCAGATACACACTGTGCGGAAAAATAAGAATACATAAATTAGCAACTAAGCAAGTTAGAAAAATTCACTTGTTGAAAAGATTATGAAATGGAAAAAGAAACAGACAGTATTTTAATTTAATATCAAAAAAATACAGATTCATTAGAGTATAGCAATATGATTTTAATAATAAAACTATCTAATAGGTAGGCTACCAAAGAAAAGATTTTATTAAAAACAAAACTTTTAAATTTAAAAGTATGTGAACCTACTTATACAAAATGTATAGAACATGGATAATCTAATGTCAACTACAATTTAGAATATTTAAAAAAATATTATGAACTATATGGAGTACAGTATTATTTAGTTTTAATATAACACATAAGAAATACTGCAGGTATATAGTATAATCGTATAGAAAAAGAAGTTTTAACCAATAATTTGTCTTTTTAAATTATAATTCGTAATAGATTTACGGCTAGAAAAGTAGTTGTGTATTGAATATTTAAAGGAAATTACAATAAAATGAGTTTACAATGTTGAAACTTATATTATTGATATTATATTATATTGATGTTGTTGAACTATCATGAAATAGATGGATCAAATAATTGTATAAATAAGACGACAATAATAAATATATTATTTTCATAGAATTTGTTTGAATAAAATGGATTCAGGTAAAAAGGAATCATATAACAACACAGAATGCTCATAAACAAACTATCTACACAATCAATATGAAAATTGACGCATATCGTATGAACCAATGTACCAACCTTTTTCTTGATAGTCATCTTGAGGGGGTTATTATTTGCCAAATATTTAGAAATAAAAAGTACGACAGTATTGAACAAGAAAATACCACAAAAAGTAAAAAAACAACAAATTTTCAACCGAACTTGGTTGTTAGTTCTTATCTGTTTGTAAACAGATTAGTCAGTTTAGACTTACGAGTTTGCGATATGAGTTTCGCGCGTTCACAGTGTTTACATCTTGAGAACAAAAAATGTGTCACAGTTTATCGTAATTACAGAATTATATTATCCACTTCAGAACGAATGTTATAGGTATTCGTGATTACATTATGCTCAGACAAAATAACAGTAATTATAATACAGTGTTCCACTAAGATATACCCAAAGTATTATCTCCGGAGATAATAATAATAATCAAATTCTGTTTTTTTTTTTTATTTAACTCACAGGGATAAGGACTACAAATATTTATATTGTAATTAATTTTGTATATTTTGGGAAAAAATTAAAAAAATAACTTGGTTTTTATTACATTACCTAAATAATTTTAAACAATTTTTTTAGATAGCCATCTTATGGAGATTATTTTTCTAGACATTTTAATGTATCAACTTTTTATTTTCATTTAATTCGTGATTTTTAATAATATTTTAAAGTTCAGAGAAAAGGTGATTCACCAAATACATTCACTAGGTACCCACTTACCTTTTTTTCTTAAATAATGCAATTATTCAAAATTTGATTTTTGGAATTTTGAAATTATGAATATAATGACTATGTTTTCGAATAGGTACCTACCTACTTAATTTGTACTTGATTCTCCTTTATAGAGTACCTAGGTACCTATTCAATTGTGATAATGGTAATGAACAATGATAAACCGTAAAATACCTACCTGATAAATTCAATAGTCCAAAAACAGTTGAAGTTTATGATGTATTCGTGAATTTAATTTACAGAATACATTTAATATCGCATTACCTAAATCCCCATCAGCGCTGTGCAGGACACAATTTCTATTTGATAGCAACAGTAGACATTCTAGACATTTTAGATATTGAGAAGAATGTCACTTACAACAATTTTAGTAGACGAGTCAGCTGATGTCAATCAATATTCAACAAACAAAACGTGTAAAAAATCCATTGAAACAATGTTTTTATTTTAGTAACTAAAACATACAGTACGAATTTGTATTATGGTGCAATCAAATACCTATATATAATTATAATATATTGTATAAACAATTCACTAAATTGATGATATTTATATGATATATTTAGAATTGGTTTCCTTCAAACTCATGAAGTTGGTTTTTTAAACTTCCTAAGAATATTACAAAATAATTAATTTTCCATATAAATATAAGTTTGTTATTAGCATTATTACTTCTGATATTACATTCTGAAACTATATTGGCAAATTCATTAGATGTTGTACAGGGTGACAACTGACAAATTTGTGTGTCCGTGGTTTCTATTCGCAACAATTAATGTAATTCACAAATCAGATTAAACAGAATAAACAATATTGTCTTTTGCGGTCCTCTTATTATCGTATTGAAGGGATGGTTAAAATTCCATTAAGATCTGTTAACTGCTATAATTTAATATCTAGCAAAACCACAGCCAAGGGTACCGGCTAGGATTAATTTCTGGGTAGGTTCTCGGTGGTTCCGTAGATCGCCCGAGGGGACTGCTTTCCCCCCCCCCACGGACTTTTTAGATAGTGCAGGCCTCTCGTGGCGCTGGATATTAGTAGTGCCGTGGATTTATCCCTGGTACAAAGCCGATACGCGCAAATTCTCGTTAGGCGGACGAGTGTCGGAACTTCCCCGCCGAGGTTGTATCCGTCGACAGACCGAGGCTCGTCTCCCCGCGTGGTCGTTCGCAGATCTTCTTGCGTTCCGGTCACGCCGTTGGATGTTCTTGGGCGGCCCATTTACCTCTAGCGACGGAGATTGTGTTATCACGTGCGTGTCGGTAGACTCCCGGCTGGTTCCGGTGCGAACTGATCATCCGCGTCGTCGGCGGCCGGGTGTCGCGGTACGTCCAACTTTTGGCATTTACGAAAAATATTCCTGGGTCGACACGCCGCGGTCTCGTGCCGTGGTCGGTGTCTGGCGGTCGGATTCGGACGGGCTCATGAGTTTCGTTAGGCAGTGGTTAATAAGCGAGTGGCCACCTGCCCGACGGTGGCCGAACCGTGGGCAAACGGTGTGCGACGAATTAGGAAGCGGGAGCTGGGACCGCGCTCTGATGCGTTGAGATCGCATCCGCCGGGGCTCGCCCTGATCCCACCGGGTCTTTTGAATAGCTACCCGTAGCTAATACAAGGTACCCGGGTAACAAGGTAATATAAGTTTTCTCATCAAATGCGAAAAACCCAATAAGAACAGGAAAACATACGAAAGATATTTGTATAATATTACGATTTTTTTTTTTTCTATGGACAACTTTTCTACCAGCAATTTTGGAAACAAACCTGGAAAAACGTAGGAAAATCAGTACAATATCAAACATATATTATAAAAGAAAACATATAGAGCCCATTCAATTATTTTTCTATAAAACGGCATAAATATTGTTGACAAAGCATCACTATCAACTGAACTAAACTCAAAATCGTTTTTTCGCAAGCAATACTTGTTGCTTACAAGTATACATCAAATTACTTATAATAATAGTGGCTGCAACCGTGTGCAGGACGTCTATTTTGTTTTTTTTTTGGCTCAAATGTTTTGAACATTTTACCACGTCTAGAAAAATCAATTATACATTTTCTTTTAAAATGTTAAAAATGTCAAGTCTCTACGAATAATTTTAATTGAATTATAAACAAACGAAAGTATTAAAGTTGTATAAACCCTACAACACGTCTCTATATTGATTCTCGTTTCGTTCAAGCAGGTGGACTTGATGGATTTGCATATGCCCCTGATCTCCATTTCTATATCAATTTCCGCGTTCTGGTCTGCCCCTCAAGACAACGTACACCATTTCATACCTATATCCCTACTCACTCCATCACTTTCGGTCACAACCATCCGTTACACAGAATGCTATAGGTTCTCTTAATAATGATCTCTCATATTTTCTACTATAATACTGGTTAATATTTAGTATAAGATACTTGTTTAGAATTAATTTACTTTGTCGTTATATTCACTTAACATTAATTTTTTTTTTTTTTTACTAGTTTTTACATATTATATTCGTTTTGTATTTGTGTTGCCTATATATTTGCCGTTTTGGCGTTAATACAATAAATAAACACTGAAAAAAAAAAACAATGTATTTTTAGTATTTCTGTTTATATGACACATAATAATCATATTGTAATATATATTTACATTTTCACAGTCGCATGCAATATATTATTTTAATTACAATAATAATATAACTATACATAACTAATATTGATTATAGGTATAAAATATATAAATATTAACACTAATAATATAATATTTTTACTTTGTTATTTAATGTTAGGTTTTTGTTTACGTTACGCTACGAGTATTACAATGTTATATTATAGTAATATGTTATTTTGTTTTTGTAAAACTCGGCAATTCCAACTCATTCGGAATAGTTCCTTAAATTTCGAATTGTCGAGAGTGTATAGTGTGGGTATGATTTTATTATACGAGCAATTAATCATTTTTCTAAGTGCTCGAGACGAATTCGTCAATCGGAAAATGATTTGTATGCGCGTGCGGGTTTCGTTGACACGGGTTTCGTATTACATCTGTAGTTTCAATAAAATAAGCTACGCATTATGAATTAATAAACAATCAATACGGTTAGACGGCTACGTATAAATTAATATTTATGTATTTTTATTTTTTATTGGTTTCATATAAGCTTTTTTGTAAAAGTCCCAGAACAAAAAGAACATGAATACATCTTGTGTCAGCGTTAGCAGTACTATAGATTTCGGGTAACTGCAGTTGGCTGCAAACAGGCCCGCAAGACCATGAATTCCAGTAGCTACAAATTGAATCTGTAAAAATTTACATTGTTATTATTATATTCTATAAGAGAAGGTAATAATACGTTTATATATAACATATATATAATACGTATTTTTACAATTTACACATTTTTCAGGAAAATTCGTATTCTCAAACACGGAAAACGACACTAATAAAACGTTAAAATATAAGAAATATAGGTATTAGTTAAAATATTACGGCCTTCTTTTTTTTTCTGTGCACAACTTTTTAACCAGCAAATTTGCTCCAACTTTTTATGATAGCAATGTTTCTAAAATGAAATTTCACTAAGAAGGTACTTTAAAAGTTTACTTTTTGATTTCTCTAATAGTTTTCCTAGCAAATGTGAAAAACCGGGATAAAATATGTGAAAACCGGGAAAAACGTAGGGAAATCGATAAAATCGGTACAACATTAAACCAATCGTGTTTTAGAAAATATATAAAACCTATAAATTATTTTACTATAAAATGACATATATATTGACAAAGCATCACTATCAACTGAACTCTGCTCAGAATCGTTTTTTCTTAAGTAATGGTTTATCGTTGCTTACAGATATCCATTGAATTCCTGTCTATATTCTACCTTCACAACTTTCCCCACCTACACCAGTGGCTACACCCGTCCCTATTATCTTACCTTCTTTTAGATTCTGAGTATACCGAAGAATGTAATGGTTTTAATAAGATGTTTAATTAATTTTTTTTTTTATACTGTGTACAAAAATTCGACCATAAATCTTGCCTAGATATATACGCACGGCACCATTTCTAAAAGGGAATGTTGTCCAGATGGTACTTTTGAAGAGGTAATTTTTTGATTTTCCAAGCTGTTTTCATAATATCTGAGAAAAACCAGGATAAAACGTAAGAATAACGGGAAATGTACGAAATTAATGCTATTATTATTTTACCAATTTCGTTATTTGTTGTTATTCAGTTAAAAATATTCGTATCAACTGAATGGACTTAAAATTTAAACAAAAACTTATATTTGCTATATCTAGACGTGATGAAATTTTCACAAAATTTAAGCCATTTTTGAGCTATTATTAGATATTTTAATTTTGAGAGTTTTGTACGTAATATTTATTCGGTAGGTATTCTATGGTAAAATTGTTAGACTTAAAAAGATGTTTTAAAATTTAACAGCAAGTTCATTAAGAGTCTTACTTTGTGATAAAAAAAAATTGAGTTAAATGTAATATTTTTTTTTATAAAGGAATTTTAATATCAAATTTTGACGAAAATATTATGTGAAACAAATCTAATTTTTCAATTTTTTTTTTCAAACATGTATATTGCCGGTTTAAAAATGATGGTAAAATCAGAATTAAGTGGAATAAGTTTCAAAATTATAACTTTTTGAAATTCTGATATTATATGTTATGTTAATTAACTCTTTATTATAATAATCATTATCATATATTATAATAATCATCAAAAATTCATCATAATAATAATTATTCACCTTATGCCTATTATCATACTAGGAGTTCCAAGTTCAAAACAGTATGTCGAAGAAAAATATTTTGCATTCTTCCCCTTTTAGCTAAACAAGAAAAGTGAATGCATTTTGGATGTACATAGAGATCCAAACCATCGGGCTCCTACGGACTATTATTATTACAAAATACCCCTCGATTTGTTATGCAAACTTCTCTATCAGAAATCTTGCTCCGAAGAATCAAGTATAGCTTATATTCTGAAAGAAAATTTTATCTCCATAGTAATTTAAAGAAGTCGTTTTTTAATTTTTCAATCGGTTTCCATAATTTCTGGGAAAAACCGAGATAAAATTTCAAAAAAACGGAAAATTTACGAAATGTAGGTATTAGTAAAAATATATTATGGTCTTCTTTTCCTGTGTACAACTTTTCTACCAACAATTTCGCTCTGATTTAAAATTATAGCACTTTTTCTGAATAAAATTGTAATTAGGAAGGTACTTATATGAGGTAGTTTTTCGATTTTCTCAAGAGTTTTCCCAATAAATGGTAAAAATCGTAAAAAAAAAACATGGGGAAATTGGTACAATATTAAACAAATACTATTAAAAAAAATATATAATGCCTATTTATTTATTTTAACATAATATGACATATATATTGTTGTTAAAGCATCACTATCAACTGAACTACGTTCAGAATAGTTTTTCGTAAGCAATGGTTTATTGTTGCTTACAGATATACATTAAATTACTCATAACAGTGGCTGCACCCGTCTCCATTATTTTAGGACGTCTTTTTTTTATTATTACTTTACTCTGATATCCACGATCAATAAGAGCTTTACCACACTCACGTGATTTTGTCACATCGTAAACGCTAATGCTTTTGCGATTTTCTCGCGCCATCGCTGATAACACGTGGTTTCTTATGGCATACGCCACAGATAAACGCACGTTCCGAATATAGATAATTCTTTTTTATCGCGTTATTGATATAAAAATGCAATATTATTATTAATGTTCTAAAATTTAATTACCAGTTGCAGTTGAGTTAAATATTTCTTCCACCATGCTTGTTTATACTCTGGTTTTAATACCGTCAAAAAATAGTAAGTGTACATTACAACGTGCACAAACGCGTTTATGGTGCCAAAGAAAGCAATTTGTCCTCCTAAAATCGTTAAACAATTGATTTAAGTATAGGTTTATTATTATTAGGAAAAAATTAACAATTTTTTTTTACCCGGATAAAATCGTAATATACCCCAGCTAAATGTCAAAACCATCGCATGATGATAGATATGCAAAAATGTCACTTGATTTTGTTTCTTACGTAAAATGAAGAATATCTAAAATAACCGATTAAAAACGTGTGTGTGAATGGTATTAATTATCTAATATACAGTATACAGAGTGATCAATCTATCATAAGACACTCATTATCTCAGAAGTTATTAAATTTTTCCGGAATTTATTTTCAAGAACATTTAAGAAACAAGCTACAATTTTAAATTTATGTTATTTTTTGTCACCCTTATTTTTAGGAGTAAAAACATTATCTACTTTTGATTTTCAAATGGCAATCTTTATTAAGAATTCCATAAATAAACGAAGTATTAGTTAAAATAAATGTTGGTATTCAAATGTTCTTGAAAATAAATTCCAGAAAAATGTAATAATTTCTGAGATATTGAGTGTCTTATGATAGATTGGTCACCCCGTGACCAATCTTATTGAAAAATTGAAAATTACCGTGTCAAGTAAATCCAATACTTTAGAGAAGAAATAAAACCAAACGACGAATAATTTCTGTAAAATTAATCATTTTTAATAATCACATATTTTGTATGTATTATTATGTACGTCACATTATAATTTTATTGAAATTACTTCTTTAGCCATGTACGTATCGCTGTTGTCGATTTCAATACAGATGAGTCTGTAGTTACCTGGAATCCATAATAACCGAAATTCCTGCAATTATAAGCTCCAAGTATTGAATTACTTTCATTTAAGTAGGTTCATAGTTTCTGAATGGTTTTCGGAGGTAAAATACTAGTTATTTATTTTTTAACAATGGTAATGTGTGTTTCAGTTTATTTTTATTCGCCGAAAATAGAAAAAATATTATCTTGTATTTATGTTATGGCCAATGTTGAAAATTGGATAATGTCCTCTTTTCCTTCAATCCATTGATTTTATTCTATTAGTTTTAATATTAGAGTGAATTGATTTATTATCAAAAATTAAAAGTAAGAACATTTTCTATGTTTGTGTGTTGGTTTTTTACGATATTTTAATTTTTAAGTAAAAATCAAAGTTTTAAATTCTGAGTGGAGTAAAGAAGTTTAATATGAATTTACAAAGACGTTTTTTTCATCTGTGCGCAACTTTTCTACCAGAAATGGTGCTCTGATTTTTAAGAGTAGCAACTCTTCTAAAAGGTAATCTGACTGGAAAAGTAATTTACATTTTTCGATTTTCCCAAGAGTTTTCCCAGCAAATATGAAAAACTGGGAAGACGCTGGGAAAAAACATGGGAAATCCGGGAAAAACGTAGAAAAAAAGAGAAAATCGGTACATTGAACAAAGGTTATTAAAGAAAATATTTAATACCTAATTAATTATTTTATCATAATATGGTATATATAATTGTTGACTAAATACCACTCTCAACTGAACTCCGCTCAAAATCGTTTTTTCGTTAGCAATGGCCTATCGTTGCTTACAGGTATACATTAAATTATTTATAACAGTGTCTGCACCCGACCCCATTATCTTAGGATAGCTTTTTTAAATTGCTAGCAGCACACTAATATTGTGTTGTTGAGTATATGCATGTACATTAGTTTAATTCGAAATTTTAATTTTCAAGCAAGATACAAAGATTATTAAATTGCAATAATTTCCATGTTCATGTTTTGATTAAAAATTAAAATATTTAAAAAAACAAATTATCTGCGTTTTTAGACAATGTTTATAGACCTTTAAGTTTGATAATTGGCCAATTTATTGTAATATTCAAACTAACAACACAAAATTGGATCTACTGAACGAAAATTTGAAATTACTCAATTTTCAATTTTAGCGATAGATATTTTGATTTTGGTTTTAAAAAATAATTTTATGTGTCAAGTGGTTCATAAACTATTTATATCACGTGGACACATCTCTTTTGAACATGTGTAGAAGGATGAATTTATAAGACATTTTAAACACAGTTTCGCGATTGGTCACTTTTGGTATGACGTTATGTACAGAGTGATTTTTTTAAGCATGCCGATCCCATTTTTATGATTAAATTATGTATTAATTACTGATTTTTCAAATTTTTTAGTGTAGTTAAAAACGTTATTTTTGAATACTTAGATTTGTCATAACATTTAAGGAGTATCTTCTATGGCGATATCAATTTTGGTTTTTCAATTGAGAATCAACATGTAGGAAGTGTTGTGAATCAGATAATTTTTTTGAAAACACTGACGTATTATGATCAAAATTTGAACTAAAAGTTTTTGAGTTATTTGATGTTAATTTTGGTTACCTACCTCTTTCAATATATATAATGAAAATAAAACTTGGACGACATTGTACACCATTACAATACGATCAATGTTGATAGCTTTACGGGATTTCATGAATTCTGGGCCAGCTTTCAAAACAAAGTATAAATAAGCGATGAGAATAATGAAAACTGGCCACGGAGAACCCATTAACCATGTTTCTTTTAATCTTGGATCTAAAAATAATAATACAAGTTACAATTTGTATGGAAATGAATTAGTTGTATATTTTATTGGGTAATGTATTATTAAGTATTTATAATTTTAGCAATCACTATAACAGACAAATACTGATAGATTTACTGTGGCGTAGACTGGGTAGTTTTGAGTGTTGCAACTTTTGTTCTTTTTTTTTTAAGGATAGGTAATGTTAAGAAGATTTTCTCTAGATCGTGGATGACGGGTAACTATACTAGTTATCAGTCTGTGTACAATCATTCTTTATCTATTAAAAATCGTTATTATCATTTGTTGCATACGTAATATCATATTGGACTTTATGTAGGTATATCACCTATTGTATCGATCTAAATGCCGCCCTCATTGATAAACCCTGACTACGCCATTGTAGATTTATAATATTTTTAATTGTTAATACATTATAGAGGTATCTACCGTACTATTTTTGTTTCCATTAAGAACTACAACCCGTAATTCGTCTATAAAGACCGTTTTGGTGGTCAAAAACTACCGCGTGGTCAAAAACTACTCGGGCTTTAAATCAAATTTTGATCATAAGTAGAAGTACTTGCACGGTGCAACGTTAGTTTTATTTCGTTGGTACAACAAATAAAAAAAAAAAAGCTGTTATAATTGTTAATAACTGAAAATTATTCAAACTAGAATAAATTATTTCGTAGGACATACCTAATGGGTAATGGCTATCGAAAACATAAACCAATGTTACACAGTACAAGATCTCCCTTTTTATGGTGAAAATTTGATTTCTTAATTTGGTTTATAGCTCCAGTAGTTTTTATTTATTTCATGATAGTTACTCAATAAATGTTTGTGATAAAAACACGGGATTACTTGTAAATTGATTTAAAAGTGAATTCGGATATAAATTTGTTAATAAATTTAATTTTCCAAATATAATTACTTATATCATATTACTTAAATACGAGTGGTATCACAATTCTAAGTAAATTATATGTATATTTAATATACAGTGTCCTGCGGTATTATCCGTATACTAATAACTCTGTCAATATTAATTTTATTGTACATTTAATTTTTCAATTGGGTTTTGTGCGAGGGGAACACATATGTAGAGAAAACTTAAATTTTTATTTTCATCCCTTAATAATCGAAAAAAATAACTTTTTACTTTTCCACTTTTAAAATTATTCAAAATAGCTATTTTTTAAAAGATATTTATCTGAAAATTGTATTGTAACACACATTTATATCTGATCAATAGCTTCTTAGTAATAGCCGTTTTAATTTCTATAAAATCGGTGTGAAAACGATTAAAATTCAATAGAATATATAAGGGATTACTGTGCCAATGGTAATTCCTCTTACCGTGTTATTCTATTTAAAATAAATTGTTTTCACGCTATTTTTCTAGAAATTAAAACGGCTAATACTTAGAAGCTATTGATCAGATATGAATGTATGTAACATTAAAATTTTTAAATCTTTTACAAAATTGTGAAAAGTGATAAATTAAGTAAATTTGTCTCTATAATATATGTGTCCCCTCGCACAAAACCTGAAAGAAAAAAAATATGTAAAAAAAATGAATATTGACAGAATTATTAGCGTAAGTAGGTAGGACACCTGCATATTATTATATATAATACTAATAAATTCGATTTTTAAAAATATAGGCGACGTTTAATTCTGTACCTAAAATAATAAATTACAATAGCCTTACCTCCATTTGTATCAACCCATTCTAAAAGATCGGATACTTTCCGGTATATAAAAGACATCTAAAAATATAACATTTACATTAATCACAAAATATACGAAATACTTGTATTTTTGGTAAAATTAATTTAGTTTAAAGTTTTATATGTTAAGAAAATTATGCAGTACTTATATTTAGTACGCCGAAAATGAGTATTAAAGATCATTGAGTGGATATAATACTGAATGAGTTTGAAAGGCAGAGAATAATGGAAATTCCATGAAAAGGACACATTGAAATAGTCCGGTCGGATTTTGGTAGTTGTGCGAATGGTTTTGCAAATAAACGTTGAAAGATGTAGACGAAGAGGAAGACCTAAAAGAGGATGATTAATAGATATGATTGAGAGTGATATGAGAACTTTTGGAGTTTTCATAGATGATGCGGTCGATCTTACCAATGTTCTGAGGAGATTTAGGATCAGATTGATTAACTCCAAATAGTTCGAGAAACGGGCAATAAAAACAATTCAGTTTGCAATAATTATTATTACAATATAATAGCTTTGATAACATACTTACATTTTTTAACACATTATTATAAATAATTTTAGTAAGTCAATAGTAGTGTAATACTATAAATCTGAATAAATCAACGAATAAAATATATAAATTTCAATAATTTCAACATATCTGCTTAATAAAAAAGAAATATACCTAATAATTATTAAATAAAAATTAATAATATTGCATCGGTTGGGTTGGATGATAGGTGTAGTGCATAATTTTTTTAAATTTACATACAGACGTACACATATAATAAAAGTGCACACCTAATTTATATATTCGTCAATTTTAGTAACAAATAATAATATTATATTTGCTTGACATTAATAATTAGATAGTGTCGAATAGAAAATTATTTGAACCATACTTACCTTATAATATTTTACTATCTTTCTTGCAATGCCAATATATGTCAAACGTGCTTAAATTTGTCTACTGTACAAATATAATATTGCACATTTGTACAGCTACATAAAAGCGTCTACCATATTAGATAAATTCGAAGAACTAAATTCAACTAATATAACTAGACGCACGGTACTTCACATATACTTATAACGGCATTTACAGTCAAGATATGAAATATCTTAATTTAAACCATATATTATATCGATCATGACATATATTACTCCAATTTGAATAACGTCACCGAGGTCACGCAGGAAATTATGACACTAAAAATATCGACGACACTTATATCAAATGCACAATCTTTTAAAGTTTCTAATATAAAAACGAAGTGTCGATGAACTATTTAGAACTTACTAAAAATGTTTTATTACCTAATTTGAATAAACCATCAAAATTTAAACTTTAAATTTGATGGAAAAACTGATGACGGTAATAGATGTACATCATTTTTAAAAATGCTTATAGAGTTTTCTTATCGAATTTAAATTACCGAAAAAAAAAAAAGGGGCAATATAAGAAATGTGGGCATTAGTTAAAAAATATTACTGCTTTTTTTTTTGCTGTGCACAACTTTTCTACCAACAATGTTGCATAATTTTTAATGATATCAATGTTTCTAAAGGGAAATTTCACTAGGGAGGTACTTTAAAGAGGTCATTTTTCGAATTTCTTAGGAGCTTTCCCAGCAAATGTGAAAAATGGAGAAAAATATGGGAAAATTGGGAATAACGTAGGAAAACCGGAAAAATTTGTACAACATTAAACAAATATCAAAGAAAATATTTAAAGCCTTTTAAATTATATTACTATAATATGGCATATATATTGTTGATAAAGCATCAATATTAACTGAACTTCGCTCAGAATCGGTTTTTTGTAAGCAATCGTTGCTTAAAAGTATACATTAAAATACCTATAACAGTGACTGTACCTGTCCCCATTATTCTAGGACATTTTTTTTTTTTTAAATATTGATTATTGTAAATGGTCTTTAAAAAATTAATAAATATAATTATTAATTAATATCATATTACTACTTAAATGCTGTTATTAATAATTATATATCACGTAGGTATGTTATGAATTATGTATCCATTGTATTCATAGACCTACGAATAGGTACTGAATAAACATCTAAAATATTTTACAATACACCGATTCTCTTTTCGCGCAAACGTAATTCTTGGTAATTCTTTTCAAACCTGTGATTTTTATTTTCAAAAACACAACACAAACGAAGTCTACGTAGTCACCGTGAGGTGTTTGAACACAGCCGATAACGGTTCTATCGCCCATTTAATTGAAAAAAACAGAAACCGGTCGCCGTCACCGACGGATAACGTGCTTTCAAAGGAACCCAAAAGAAGTTATCCGAAGTGTAACAACCACGTAAAGTTTTTGTGCTTCTTTATTACAATATTATTTCCGTTCGCTATTGTACACAACGATCGAAGTTTACATTTGAAATATTGCATTATTGTAGTTTTTGAATTAATAATACTTAAAAACACGTCCTGCAACTGTGTAATGTGTTTTCTGAAATGTGCAGGATTAGTGGTGTCTCCATCACGAAGTCCGACTTCTGCGGCCAACAGCCAGACGTCACTAGCCTACAGCCCGGCTTCACCTTCGTATCTTTGGTAGTATTATAAGCATCGAACTAAATAATATTAAATAATTAATTAAATAATTCGCACAGGTATAGCCTTAAGGCGTCACAATCGTACAATAGTACGGACGCGAGTACAAGGCATAGTTCGTATAACGAACTGATACTCATTCACAATGATCCGGTGAGTGACGCCGATTATGAAACAATTATTAGTCTGATGTCACCGTCGTAAGTATCTTTGACCGTACCGTAACTAATATTGTTCAACATTTTTAAACAAAATACTTAAAAAAAAAAAAATTTGGTGTAGACATATCGTGACTTCATCTAACGTTTTAAGTACTTACAATTTAAAAACAATTAATAACAATATTATTTGGAGTCGGTTAAATAGTTTGTATAATAAATATCGAATTAAATAATACGATTATTCACGTATTACAAGTTATGTATTTAATATAATTTCATATAGGTATTATTCATAAAATACTTTAATTAATATCTCTCTCTTGGTATTCAACCCTTAAGGTTGGTTTTGCAGTTGGACATGCGCTCTCCACTCTTCCCTGTTCCCAGCTAACCTCTTCAGTTCGGCGTAGCTTGATAGTCTAGCATCGAAAATCATTTGTTTGAAAAATGAAGTTCTTGGAAGCCCTTGGCCTCTNATCGTCTTGCTCTGATGGTTTTGAGAATCTCTCTGCTTTCATCTATTTCACTGAGTATGCTTTCGTTGGTACGGTGTTCTATCCAACTCACTCTCAGCATCCTTCTCCAACACCACATTTCAAAGCTTTCGAGTGTTCGTTGTTCTGCCTTATTCAGAATCCATGTTTCGCAGCTATATAGTGCCACACTTCATACATACACTTTAATGAAGCGTTTCCTCACTCTAATACTCATGCTATTGGAGCATAACAAATTTTTCTTATTCATAAATTAATATCTATTAGCATACATTTCTTTATTCAATGAACATATTTAACGCGTATTCTGATTTCTAATAAAAGGAATATTGTTTATACTTTTAGTAAAAAAAGAAAAATGTGTTTTTTTTTTTTATTATTTTAAGGCAATAATCCTTTTTTGAAATTTTGTGGTCTTTCTTATTTCGTCTTAACCAGTTTTGTACTAACATAATATTATAATATAGTATACAAATATTATTTAATATTATTTAGCTTGCGCCCGACCAGTGAAAGAGGTCTGGACACGCCAATGAATGTTACGGGCCCCTGGAGTACAGGCCTTAATGCGTCATCGTCGTACGACAATATTCTGTCGCCAAGTTCGTACAATATGACTTATTGACCATACGACCAAGCATCCGCGCCATACAGCCCGGCTTCACTATCGTGAGTATCTTTAATAGTATCGTAACTAATAATGTAGCATTTTAAAAATAAAAAAACTATAAAAAAAAAAACTCGGTATAGACAAATGTATAATTATTTACATTTTTAAAAATTTAGTTATATATTTTGTACCGTAGGTAAGTATGAAATTAAATAATAATGCGTTTGTTCTCATATAGATATAGCCCTACCGCATCTCCAATGAATGATTCGCAATACTATGACAAACTCCCCATATGTATTTCGAGTGACGATGAAACCATATGGATTTCAAGTAACGACGAGCCTATATGTATTTCAAGTGACGACGAACCCATATGGTGTTCGAACCACCGGGCTGTGATTTTTTTTTTAATTATGTTATCTTCCGTCTCACTGTAGGAATTAAATTTTTGTTTTTTTAGAATTATGTTATTTTTTGTTCAATTTAATAAACAATAAAACTTCACAATTGTGTTTCTATATACTGTACAACTATCATGCAAACGTTTCAAATAATTGATACGAATTATATCTTTATGAGTAGTTGATATTTTTTAAATAATATTACTCATAGTTTATGTTTGTTTTCTTATACGAAATATTAAATTAATGATTTTCTTTATAACGAGCTGAATTACTCGGCTTCTCCCGTGTTCGATTTTGAACCAAATTGTACTATTTATTAAACCTAACAAATTTTACTTACGAAAATAATCTACATACATAATCGTACAATATATCACAGTAGAATCTCGGTAATTCGACTGTTCGATATTCTGGTACGTCCAGTAATCCGGCTATATTACCGTGCTTCAATACACGATTTAAGAAAGAAAAAAAAATAGCGAAAAGATAAAATTTTTTTTCAAAAGCAACGAAAATTTGAAAAGTACGCGCAAAACATTGATAATTGGTGAGTTTCCTGAAGTTTAAAATACCTTGTGTTTATGGTTTTCGTAAGAACCTAATTGACAAATACACCTATTTCCGGCAAAATGTTGAAAGAGAAAGCTTAGTTTTTTTTTTCAATTTAACAAAGTATATGTAATAAATTAGTATGTATGTATTATTTATACGTTTTAATAAAATACAATAAGGTTTTTTATTAAAAAATAAATATATTTTTTAATATAAGTAAAAATGTAAAATTCAATAAGTAAAAAGACGTTTTTATATGAACCCCCATTAATCTTTTGTAGACGACATTTTATTGAAATTATATTGGTGTCTAAGGGGGGGGGGAGTCCAGACCCCCTAGACCACTCTCGTAAATCCGCCATTGGCGAGGCCCTTACCGAAATTCTACTGTATACACATATTTTATTAAATATGTACAGTTATTAAATTTATTTCTATTTAAACAATTTATTTTTTATTATTTTTGTAGTACCTAATGGTTAAATAAAATAAAATAAATTTAACTCCTTATAAATATACAATTAGCCAAACATAATTGATAATTATAATTAGGGCTCAGGACTTTATGCACTTAAAAATCCACAAAAATTGATGAAAATACGTCTTGATAACTGACTTAAAAAAAAAACAAAAAATGGCAGTATGTTTTTTAAAGTTCCTCCTCCAACGGCTCCAACTTATAAAATACAATTTTCGAACACTAAAAAGAATGATTATCACAAGTTTTTAAATAAAATTGTAAGTATTAAATTTAAATAAATTGTGTTAATCGTTGCATAGTATTAGAAAATTGCATTTAATGATTAGAGCCGTCATGAGAGGAGGAGGTGGTGAAAATTTTAAACTCCTCGGCATCCTTTGTCATTTCTTTTGTAGTTTTTAAGTGCTTTTCTGTGGATTTTAAATTCATATAGACCCGAGCCCTGAATATAATAATAAAAACGGGTAGAATTATTTACCTATGGACATATTCAACACAACGCTTCTTTATAAACAAAATTGACATTCGTTAGACATCAAATTCAAAATTAGTAAATTATCATTCGTATAATCAATATGGAAATCGTAATGAGAAACATCAGTTGCTGTTATTTTTACCATGAGTGTTAGTTCATAAACATGAGTTTAGTGTTGATTCTTAATAACAATAATAACCCTATATAACATATAACTGGTGTTGCATTAATCCAACACCCATTGTTCCTAAGCTGGAAAACGACGCGCAAATGCGCAACGGCACCACTTGGAGTTTAATCTACTACGGATTTCTAAGCGTGTAGTGAGAATGTGTGTGGAAATCAAATATTAAAATGTCGTTATGTGTAAAATGTCATAAGAACCTAAATGTACATATATATATATATATATATATATATTATAATCTTATTATTGTCCACTATTGATTGTGTTGGGCTTTCATTGTTATTGTTATTGCGTGTCTCATCACTAGAACTCCGTATGTCAGATACAAGCATTTAGCTCAGTTGGCGTACGTATTAATCGTATTGTATTGTTTTTGTATTGTTCTTGTATTGATATTGTACTTAATGTGGAATACTGAATAAAGAATAATAATTATAATTCAAAACAAAATAATAATAATAAATAATATTATTATTCGCAGTCTGTTAAATATTTTTTATTATAAGTATCGAATTAAATTATACGATACATTAATACAGCTTTAATGCGTTACCGTCAAACAAGAGGACTTCTGACATCAACAACCTGACATCTACGCCGTATAGTCTGACATCTCCTTCGCGTAAAAATGTTCGATTTATAAAAAAAAAAAAAAAAAACGTTGTAGACAAATCGTGACTTCATCAAACGTGTAATAACTTATATTTTTGAAATTAAATAATACGTTTGTTCATTAAATATAGGTGTAGCTCTACCGCATCACCATTATTGTATGGTTCACAATATTATGATGAGCCCATATGGATTTAAAATGACAATGATGGCGACGAATAGTTCATCATTGCCTCATTGATGGTGTTCGACCCACCGAGCTATTAGTTTTTTTTGGAATTATGTTACTTTCTGTTGAAATTAATAAACGATAAAACTTCACGATTACGTTTCTATATTGTACAACTATTATACAACCGTTTCAAATAATTTATATACGAATTATATCTTTGTCAGTAGATGATATTTTTTAAACAACATTACTCATAGTTTAAATATATTAGAAATATTAAACTCCTTTTAAGACAACAAACAGAAAAATTAAACTACTTATAAATATACAATTAGGTAGCTAAAGACATTCGATAATTATAATTTGGGGTCTGGACTTAATGCACTTAAAATCCACAAAAAACGAAAAAAAAAACTGGTAGTACCAATGATATAAAAAATAATTTAAATACAATTTTCGAACACTATACAAAAACGATTAACACAAGTTTGCATAGTTTTAGAAAATTGCACTTTATGGTTTAATCCGTTATATGGGGGAGGGAGTGAAAAATCAAAAATTGTCAGGGCACTTTTGACGTTTTAAAGCGAGCTTTTCTGTGAATTTTAAATGCACAACGTCCCGAGCCCTGATTATAAGTACATATAGAATCTAATAATATGATTATTCACATACCTATAGGGGATAGCCATACAGTGCGTCAACATCGTACAATTTTACGGATCCGAATACTGGACGTCCGTATTTCGAACCGACACCCATTTTCAGTGATCCGACGGGTGACAGTGATGATGAAACAAATAGGCCTATGACAGTATTTGACTTATTCTCCGTCGTACAGTCCGGCGTCTCCGTCGCATATACCAGCGTCACCGTCGTGAGTATCCTCGATAGAATATATAGTATAACTAAATATTGTTTCAATAATAAAAAAAAAAAAAAAAAAAAAAGGTGTGAACACATCGGTACTTCGTCAAAATAAGTATAGTTATTAATTATTTATATCATTGAAAAAATAAACAAATTATGTTCGGGAGCCGCCCATTTGCCGCAAAAAAAAAAGAGCTGATACTGAGGACGGGAGCGACCACTATTATAAGTTGGGAAGGTAGGACACATAAAGTTATTTCACTTATATCTGTAAGCAACGATAAACCATTGTTTGACGAGAGATGATTACGAGCGCAATTTGGCAATACATAATTTGAATTGCCGTAATTTTTTTTGCGATTTTTGTTTAAATTTGATTTCAAAACTCTCATTGAAAAAAAAAACGCCCGATAATTTTGGAAATTTTACCACCTCTAGATAAGTTAAATTCCTTAAAAGCTCAAAAGTGATTCAAAAATTTTGATTACGATACCGTTAGAAAGCAAATCAAAAAAGCAACGAAAAATGTAGAAAACGTCATCCGTGTTTTTTTATAAAATAGTGAAATCGTAAAATTATACGGTTCCTACGTTTTTTAACACTTAAGTGCTTTTTTTTAAAAAATAGCATCAAAAATCAAAAAATGACCTGGTTAAAGTACAATCTAGACAATATGAGCATTCAGAAAAGTTGCTAGGCGTAAAAATCGGAGGATTTTTACTAGGAAAAAACGTGTCCACAAACTAGAATAAAGAAAAAAAAAACATCATTGTAAAACCAATAGCTTCCTCGCTACGTTCAGAATCTAAAAGGTAATCGTTTTGGGTACAGCCCGTTTTGCGCCAAAATCAAAAAAAAAGGTACTTTTTTCAGACCGGCCGTTTGCCGTCAAATTTACCTGCGTATATTACACGATTAAGTTATTTTTTATTTCACTTATTTATAATTTATTTTACGTTACTTTTTTTTCTTTCGTCATAATAAAATATATAATAAGTACGGACTTTTATTAAAACAAATTGTACACGAAATGGACCGATTTTTTTTTTGGAACTTTGGTATGATATACACATTTTAATATTATAAATAAGTGTTCTACAATAATCGTCAATAATATACAAATAATTTATGGTTTTCAAATAAATAATAATAGGTGAGAATTCACATTTATTTCAAAATAATATTATAAAATATTAGACACTTACCATATCTATCTTATCCGATAACGCAATACATTGTACATTGTACAGCGTAGTCAAACTGATACGAAACTTATTATTATCTGCTTACACGGTATTGAACACAACTTTAAAAAATCTATAAACAGTAATACATATAATTGTATTAATAGTCCTCGTGTAATATACGCCGGTAAATTCTGCGTTAACGGGCGGTCAGGAAAAATATCTTCATTTTTTATTTTGGCGCAAACGGGCACCTGCAATATTACCTCTTTGAGGGGGGGGGGGTTAGTATGAAACAGGCGCATGTACAAGGAGTGGGAGGGGAGGCTAAGGATTTGAACTCTCCGAAATTTCATGAAAACTATGATGAAATTAGATTTTAAATAGAGTATCAAAAGTGGTCACTGTCATTGAGAAAGTTAAATGCAATTTTGGTTTTATTTTATTACTAGATATAGTATACCTAGGTATTATAATGTTATTATTATCATTTGTCATTTCTAATTTCTTGCGATTTAGAACATTATGTAACTGATACAGTGATATATTGCACACTATTTATAGAACAGTAGGTCCACACCCACTCACATACCCCAACCCCACGCTATAGCTGAACTAGTAAATAATATCGTCATTAAAACGCCAAATAATTTTTCCGAATCCCTATTTTTATATTAATTGTCTTAATTTGTTAATTATAAAAAAAACGTTGGTAATAAAATATAGGTACCTACACCATAAACCCGAATAGTACAATAACTAAACAATATGCGTACAGTTTTAAAAGTTAAACAATAAAGATTACACTTACAATTATACTTACAATAAATATATCCTCAACCGTCGTCGCGACGTCGCACCGTCACAATACAATTCACCACGGAATACGATGCAAGCATACCCTATACGTCTTAAAAATAATACACCCATATTCCATAGAGTCATAGACCATAGACGTATTTCACAAATATAGCTTTCTATTATGTTTATACGAACCACGGTTACCTATACCGGGGGTGGCCAAACGGTCGATCGCAGATGATTTAAACGTTGATCTCCGTTTGGTTAGAATTTATTTGCATGTTATTATAGTGGCGATAAATAATAATTGCTGATCAATTTTATCGTACATTTTTTAAGTAATATAATAATATATTGTGTTAGTGTCGATGAAAATAGTGATGAATAGTCGTGTTAAGGGGATGAAAAACATTATTTAACAATACATTTCAGTTTTATTTTTTTGTACGTGTATAAGTACTAGTACTACCTATTAGGTAATTTATAATTATACATTTTTGTTAGGAAGTCGATCCTCAAAGGAAAAATATATTCTTAGTAGATTTCTATCAAAAAAAGTTTGGCCACCCCTGATCTATACACGTTTAGATAACCGTTATACGTTTCTATACCTATTTTAGCGCATGATTGTCACAGATGTTTTTATTAATATTATAAAATTAACCGTAACAATGTTCAATACTAAAATCTTAAACAAAAATGTTAAGAGGAAGACATTTCGAGAGGGAGGAGTTTAAACCCAAGAAACTTATCCCTGCGTACGCCACTGGCCAGACACTCGATAATTAAAATTAAAGAAAACGAAAACAATTATTTGTGTAAATTCAACTCAATACTTCTTTGTAAACAACATTGACAAACTCGTTAGATGTCATCAAACCAAATTTCTCTAAATTATCATTCCTATAACCAATAATAAGGGAATCGTAATGTGTGGCAGGATTCTCTTTTTGTAACCCATTTAGTTTTAACTAAATTAATTCTAGCTAACCTTCTAGGTTTCCTTTTAGCATCATTTGAAAAACGACAGAGATAAAATCTTTGATTGGTATTTTAAGCTAGAGCACTAAAAAAAGACGGACCAACTCTGCCACGATGGTTGAGCTACTGTTGTAGATGAAAAGTAAGGAAGGTACGATATATAGGGGAATTTAATGTATATCTGTACGTACCTAACGATTAATTATTGCTAACGAAAAACGATTCAAAGAAGACTAATGGAATTCGGTCACACATACTTGTAATATTTATGATTTTCTTCAAAATTTGGTATTTAAATTCTTATAATAATAAAAAAAAAAAATACTACATTAAATTCAACTATTTTTTTGATCATTAAGTAAAACGTTATATCGAAATTACTGTTAAATGTTCAAAAATTTCTCTTAAGTCATATAATTTTAAAAACAAATACCTACTAAATAAAAATATAAAAAGATCAAATATCTATAAATAGCCCAAAAATAGTTTAAATGTTTTGAACATTTTACTAAGTCTATAATAGTCCATTATTAGTATCTTGTAAAAAATATAGGTCTCTATAATTTTCAATTGAAAAACAACAAAAATTCCAAATACCGAACACGTAAATATAAAAAAAAAAAAAAAACAAAATCGAATAGGTATATCAGAAATCGTTATTGTGTAAATATCCTAATTTTTCTGAGTTTTCTTTTTCTCGATAAGGAAAATAAAAAATTGACCACACCAACGCACGAAATATACTAAATTTTCTACTAGAAACCATTTCGAAAGTTGATGATCAAAGCATTATTTCTAGTAGAAAAGTGGTTTGCAGCAGAAAAATAGAGGTTTAAGGCTATTGCACTAAACTCAACCAGAGAGTCGCAATCGTTGAATTCCGGAATGTATATGTTATTTTATTAGATACATAAATGAAATACACAGAAAAAACAAATTATTTGTAGAAAGTTAAAAGTTTTTGTTAATTTAAAATTTTAAAAATATATACATATATTTTTTTTATCAATAAGCACAAAAAATTACACGAGATGTACTCATGTACTCAGATGTGAAGTCTCAATACCCAAAATTACTTATATTAATTTTTTAGGCCCTTAGACACCTTTAAATTGTTTATTAATTCGCTTAGTAACTAGGTACTTATGTTTTCGTTTTCGTATTGTTTAATACAAAATATAGGTTTCGTTATTTTAATGCTATAGTTTTATTTTCAAATTAAATTTCAAAAATCAATATTTCATGAAATTATTTGTGATAGCTAATTAATAACTATTATAAAAATTATAATATTATACAACAAATAAATAAGTTTATTTAGAAAACAAATAAAATAAAGTCTGGTGTATTATAATTTACAATACACCAGACTTTATAATTTATAAAGTTTGTGTGTAAATACAATCGGTTTCAATATAAAAAATTATTCTCTTAATACATAACTGAATACAAAATAAGGAATACAGAGAATTTAATATTATTTTACACAGGAAATAAATCAATTTCATTAGAAGAGATTGTAAAAAAAATGATGAAATGACATAAATTAAAGACTATTATTTATTATCTACAAAATATTAGTGCCCTATAGAGTATTATTTTTTAAATCTATCTGTATATTCAAACTGTTCCTAAATATTTCGTTTTCTTAACTTCCTTATAAATATGCAACTCTTACATTACAGAATTAATGTATATGTTATTTTTTTTTTTTTAATTTCAATTTTTATTTATATTTGTTTTATTTGATTTTTTTAAAAAAATATTAATAAATAAAACAATAATAGATAAAAATTGTTTGTATTTTACATTATACAAACTTATGATTGTTTATTTTTTTTTGGTGTTGAATATGTTTTTTTATAAAAGTCATAGAATAAAATAAACATGAATATATCTTGTGATATTCCCAAATACATCATGAATTTAGGGAAATCACAGTCTGGCTCCATTACCGACAGTAAAGCATGCAAACCGGTAATAACAAATTGAACCTGTAAAAATGAACAATGTTTTATTTTTTAATTTAAAAAAATATTTAAATATTCATAGAACATGATATTATGTAAACCACTGTAAAGCAGAGACATATTTAAAGTTTTGATGCTGATTTTCCCCTATTCCCAGTGTAAAAAAAATGTTTATATACAATATATTCATAATGATAACCTGTTTTATTGAATATTGGTTGATTCAAATTTGAAGTTAATCAACAGTAAAATATTTAATGTAATAGTAATGAGTCACCGGCAACTATTTGGATGCACAATGTTTTGCAAAGACATACACTGAACATTTGATGTAAATTCAGCCACATGTCAAATGGGGCTAAAATTTAAATGTCAAAACATATTCTGCTCAAGGCGATGGTACCACTACCCCCTTCTAAATATGTCTTTACTAGAAAAAAGTTTTTAATCTACTAAGACCAGAAATAAGTATAATAACATTGCGAATAATATAATTTATGATACATTTACTATTAACACATACAACTTTTTTAAAATAGGAATAAATGTATGCATTTCTTTAGAACATTCAATTTAGAGACAAATTGATTTTGGAACTTTTCTATACAGCTGATCAGCTATTATAGACTGTTTTCTAAACTGACTTGTGTAAAAAAACTACCATAATATTTAGTTTTTAAAGAAAAAAACCTTGTAGTAATATCTGTTGGATACTTTTTTTCTAATTTTGTTAAAATTCTAAAACTATTTTCAAAATTTTAACGACCATTCATTTAAATACCCATTTAAAGGCAGTGGTAGATCCAAAGTGGCAACAAAATCATTTGTCCCACCCCTAAACACCGTAGTGAAATTATATGTTTTGGTTTATAAGGGTTTTTAATTTACTTATTTTGGCAATATATTTGTACTCTTGCCCTTCCCAAAATTGAGCTCTGAATTGGACCCAGTTTAGAGAGAAGGTTTAAAGCAGTTTTTATGGATGAAAATGACTGCGGAAATGTGGATTTATTTAAATATGCGAACCTTAATATAAATCAAAGTCAAAATTAAAAATATAATATTAAATACTATCTGCCTGTTTTTCTGTAAGTATAGGTAGGCACACATAATATCATACACATATTGACTATATTATACCCATAGACATACAAAACCTACAAAACAATAATATATTGTGAATTATCATTTAGACACAAGGATCGTATTTTATTTGAAAATATGTACCTATCAAGGGCGGATTGGTTCATTGGAAAATTTCTCGATGGGCTTCTTGTGAACCACTGTATCATTACATAATTTATAAAATAAATATAAATAGTTATTATACTGTATTTCTGTGAATGTTGTCAATAATTACCATTATAGTGTTTTACCAATGGTTTTATGTGCTACATAATCAAACAATTGAAAAAAGTTATTAAGTTTTAAAATAGAGTACTTGATATTTCATCATCTGTAAGTCCAGGTATTTACTATTTTAATCATTAATATTACATCATTTAAAATTCAACTATTGTTATATTAAATATTTAATTCACTTATCTACTTTAAAGTCATCTATATCTATTGTAATTGTTATGGTTTTTACAGAAAGAAATTATCTTATTAAAAAACAAAAATCATTAAATATAGGTAAGTATAATGTCTTTTTTTTGTGTAAAAAAAAATTATGTTTGTCTTGTGATGTGGTGAGAAATAGAAAAAGAAGTATTTAAAACTTTCAGTTTCAAAATTGGTACTCCCAAAATTTCTACAATATCATAATGTTTAAACTTTGCAATGCCTTTTGATAATTATACAAAATATTCTACAAATGCCAAATTGTTGTAATTTGATGCCCCCTCCCCACAAACACCGATATAATTTCAATAAAAATTTGGTAGGTAAATATAATGTTTAATATTTCTTGCTTTTAACAAATTTTATCTTTAAATGAACCCTTATAAAAATCATTTTTCGTAATAAAAACAATTTTTAATATTTATGAATTATAAGTAGATATTTATAAATATTGAAAATATATATTATTGCATGAACATATTTCTGTTCTTCGTAATTTTCTGACGACCAACATCCAAAAAATGGACAAAAAGAATATCAGAAACCTTAATGGTCGATGATTGAAAATTGAATTTAAATTATTTTAATACGCGTTATCACTTACCAGTTGTAAGATTGTTAAATATTTTTTCCACCAAGCTTTTTTGTATTCTGGGTTTATAATAGTCAATAAATAATAGCTGTACATTATAACGTGCACAAATGAATTTACTGTACCAAAGAAAGCACCTTGACCACCTAAAATTAATACAAAACCCATTCAACAATATATTTATTGATTTTAGTTAAATTATTTTATTTACCTGGATAAAAATTAATAATGAACCATGCTAATGACACAACTATTGCATGATGGTAGACATGCAAAAATGTTATTTGATTATGTTTTTTTCGCAGTACAAAAAATATCTAAAATGTAATTGAAAAGTTAATACAGGATGATCAATATAACATAAGATAATCATTATCTTGGAAAGTACCTATTAACATTTTTAGGGTTCTTTTTTGAAAAATTTAAGAAACAGCTCTAAAATTTTAACCTTTAATTTTTTTGTCACAGTTCTGTTTTAGGGTGAAATCAACTATCTGTTTTTGTTTTCAAATATCAACCTAATTTTTCAAAAAAATTCTGAGAAAAGTTAACATTTTCCAATATAATGAATGCCTTATAATGTATATTTAAACTAGTTAATAATAAGGTTTTGTACAAAATTTTAATTACTGTATCCAGAAGGTCTAACAATCTGCTCATGAGAAACAGCCAAACGGTAAATACTTGCTACAAATTCAAACATAGCACATATTAAAATTATATTTATTTTACTGCGGATAAAATTTAAAAGTGTAAACACTGTAAACAAGTACAAAATTACTTCTTTTGCTACATCAGGATCTTTATTCATTTCAACACAAAAAAATCGGTAGTCGAATCGCAGCCATAGTAATCTAAATGCCTAGATTGAATAATGGATATAATAAATGTTTAAAAATGTTGAACTTACATTTTAGTATTATATTATTCAATTTTTCTTTTACTTCTCTCAATAAATATAGTGAAAATAGGATTTGTATAATGTTGTAGATCTTGATATAGATATCAACATTAAGTGGTTTACGGGATTTCATTAACTCAGGACCAATTTTAAGAACAAACGACAAGTACAAAACCAATGTAATAGTGACTGGCCATATTGAACCCATAAACCATAAGTCTTTAGTCAATGGATCTAAAAAAGTATACAGTAAAAATTAGTTAATTTTAACTTGGTTTTATCTTTACTAATAGTTTTGATGAGTAAAAGTTTGTTATAATTGTTTAATCTATCGATAATCGATTTCCTATATCAAAAAAATAAATATTTATATTTAATTATTATGTTTGCCTTTTATTTGAAAAAGAATAAACGAATATAGTTAGTTTGTTTAGTGTAATTATGTAGTTAGTTATAGTAAAATTAAATTTACTTATTTTAACGTTTTTGGGCTTCAGCCTGTACTAAAAGTACAATAAATAAATACATTAAAACGAGACAAATCTAGTGAGAAATTGACCAGATAGTATTTTTTAAAAACGTATATATTGTATACTATTTTTATAAATTAATTTTAATAAAAAATAAAATTATCAAAATGTTACCAACATTAATATTATTCAATAAACAGTGAAGATCAGATCAACTACATAGGTTCCCAGGTGTGGGTATAACTTTATTGTATAATTGTATTTAACGCATTACATTGTGATGCGCACAAAACATAATATTTTGTTTATAACACTTAAAATGATAAATAATTATTATGGTCCATTAAAGGATAAAAAAAAACGTGCAACTAATTAACATAAAAACAAGCACTGCGGTATGCACAAAAGAATATAATATTTTGAAAATTTTAAGTTTATAAATTAATATCAGCTGGACAAAAACAAACTTTCGGGGTCAGATTACTTTGCAATTCCCCCAGTATGGAAAATTAGAAACTAACCACGACTATATCGATTTTATTCAAGGAGATTATAGAACAGGGGTGGTCAAACGAGGGGGGAGTTAGGGTGATATATCCTCCATTACCTCTTTTATAAAAAAAATATTTAAAATTTACCGAGAATGATTTTGTAAGTACACTATAAGTACCACATTTTTATGGTTAAATTATGCATAAATTCAAATTCTGATATTGGAATTTTTGATCGTATCGAAAAAGTCGATACCTTCAAATACTTGCATTCAAATATCTTACGGAAATAACAACTTTGGTTTTTTTTAAACGCGAACCCGCACGTTTTAATGCGAATTGTCAATCGGACGGTTTTTCTAAAAAACGTTAACGTACCCATTTGAATCGAAATTTAACCGAGAACACTACTGTAAACGCTAATGGATAATAACTACACTGTCAAAAACCACAAGTTGTCTACACACGACTTCTATGTAAACACTCGATATCCCAATCGTTGTACGAGTGCATTGCCCTTAGCGTTTAACGCCAAACAATTCAGAAACGTATCGTTCGAATTTCAACTACAAATACGTAGGTAGGTACGTTAACACATTTTCAGAAAAAAAAAAAAAAAAATCATCCAATCAATAATCCGCAACGAAACACGCGAGTTCTTATTTTCAAAAACCAAGTCGTTCACGGCCACGCGGTATTCGTCGAGATTTGAACGTTGCGAAAAATCCAAGCGCTCTCATCTACCCGGCGCGACGGCGCTACCGTCGTTCACCGCACTTGGATCCGCACGGACGCGTGTCCCAAAATCGGAATTGAATTTTACGCGTACTTTAATCATAAAACCACGGCACGTTATCACATCGGTACGGCCTTTATTAGTTCGGCGATTTCCGTGCGCGTTTACGGGCAAGCGCGGCGACGGCGATAATCGCCACGGTTACAACGTCGTTACGGAGCGTCGGTTCGTAATGCGGATTTTGTAAACGTACGGTCGACGGCCGATGGTACTTACGGCTGTTGTCGTGTATCCATTGCACGCCTCCCTGAACGTGGTCCAACAGCGCGGACATCTGCAAAACGGAGAAAAACAGATAATCATCGCCGGCAAACGGGCCGTGTGCGCGACGCGCAAAACGGCGTTTCGCATTCAGCGCGACTCCGACCCGGCGTTCCCGTGCGTTGACCACCGGCCGGTAGCCGAACATCCGACGGGGCGGCGAACCGCGACGGCCGGGCGCGCGCCCGCGGACCGGTACCGGATTCCGCGGCGTTTCTCCGGAACCGAAGAGAAAATACGCCCGCGCCCGGCGGTCGGAACGAAACGACGTTTTACGCCGGGGCCGCGGCGCGTAGCGTTCGCTCGCCGGTCGCCGGACGGAACGCACGCCCGAATGGTTTCGAGTCCGAACGGCGCGCGCAAATAGCCGTATTGCCGTCGAACACGCGGACCGCCGAACAGAATACAATTTATTATTATTAATTTTTTTTCTTGTAAATCTCGAGGATCGCGCGGTAAACGCTCCTCGTGGCCGTTTAAACAACCGCCCGGCCGTACGCACGCACGGCGCGAGTACCCGGGGTGCTCCTTACCTACGTGTCGTTACTACCCGTGCTGGCCATACCGAACGCAGGCGCCTACCCGGAATAAAATAACGACGATTCACACCTACCTCCTAATGGCGGCCTCGATGCAAACGGCGCGTAATCAGATTTACGAGTGGGCACCGGATTAAAATCGTTCTCGAAATATTCTACACGGGTGTCTGTATCGCGGAATAAACGACGGCACGTTCGTCGCCGGGCACGAGAGCCGGACGCAGCTGCGGCGCGCGAGCGTGACCAAGATGATTTGAAAATCTGTGCAAGCGGTGCCTTTATAATGTAACGAACGTTCGTCGTCAGAAATACGCTAATTCATCGCGAGCTCGTGGTACCCCAAGCCATGTATAATGTGATAATTTCTGGAAATAATGGGCACTAATATGGATGCACCGGAGTTAAAAATAAAACATCAACAACGTGTAGATAATTTCATTTATTGAATTATAGGTGCACGTAGAAAAAAAAAAAATAAAAATAAATGTATACACATATCATATATACTGAACACTTACTTTTTAATGTGTTTGTAATCTGTTGTTGCTATGCTAACTGGACGACCACGACCGCGACGGGTCGATGGGCATAATATTTAAATTTATCTAATAATTGAAAAACTTACACTCAACTGATACTTGATACCAACAATTTCAAGGAATTAAATAAAAAAAAAAAATGTAAATTAATTTAATAGAAATTTAAGTAGTTAGCTATTTTTTAAGTCAGACACAGAATATTAGTGTATATGAATAATTGAACAGGTCAAGCAGGAAATCGAATAATGTTAATCAGATTTATGCTGAATATATTTTATGAATGGAAGTTTTATATACTAGTCACAATACAAATATGAGTAGATATATAACCAGTCTATGAACCTATGCAATGATGGACATTGTAAGTCACATTATTGATAGTTACTTAAATAAAATAATGATTTTCAAAAGTCAAAGGTTACCAACCATTTTGTGAGCCTGGAATTTTCATTTACATTATGCACATGTATAATGTATCAACAGTTTAATTTCATGTTTCGAGAAAATTTATCAATACATTTTTCAGTTTTTAAATTGTTTTTAAACTAAATTAAAAATAATTATTATACCTACACTACCGAAGAAAATTAAAAAAAAAAAAAAACGGACATACTTCGCACGATGTAGGTAGGTGAGAAGTTGGCTAAGTATGATATAGAGTGGAATTTAATGTATGTCTGTATGCAACAATTAATCATTGCTAATTAAAAATGAATCTGAGCAGAATTCGGTTTTACATACTTTAAGAGGCCGTAATATTTCCAATTTTCGTGAAAACTTGTTAAGTCTCATAAAAAACTATATTACACTAAACTCAAATTTTTTTTTTGACCACTAAGTAAAACTTAAAATGAACTTTTTATTAAATTTTCAAGCATTTCTGTTGCATTTCAGTCTAACAATTTTATTCTCAGAGTACCTACTAAATAAAATTTACTTGAAAAACTTGCAAAATAAAAATGTCTATAAATAGCTAAAAAAATGACTCAAATGCTATGGAAATTTTACTACGCCTAGAAAAGGCAAACATAAGTTTTTTGTCTAAATTTCATGAACATAATATATTTTTCCAATTGTTATGAAAACTGCTAGAAAAATTAAAAAATTACCTTCCTAAAACATAAATAAGATAAAATTCTCTTTCAGAAGAGGTGCTACACTTAATACATCAGAGCAAGATTTCTGGTAGAATTTGTGTACAGAGTATAAAAAAAAAAATCACCGTAAAACCAATATATTTCTTGCTTCAATCAGAAACTAAAATGTCAATAATAGTATAATATTTTTGATAGTTCATATATAATTTTTTAGCATATAATGGTAACTTATGGTTAGTTTTGGGCCACTGCCCTATTCGAACTTTCAACGGCACAATTAACGATATCCACGGCGTTTCGGAAACGGCTCTGGCCTGGTTGTGATCACTCGATGTTCTCCTATATGTGGGTCATTCCACAACACAGAAGTTACCATAAACTAGACTAATTACATAATATCTTTATTATTGTTATTTATTTTAACCTCTATATATTCTACTTAAGTTTATTTATTTATAATTTTATTGAGTTGTAATGCTTGTTAAGAATACCATATGATAATAATAATAATAATAATAATAACAATAATGGTTAGTTTTAAATTAATATATTCCGATTCAGAATAGTTTTTTATAAATATTGAATTAAAAATTTATAATAAATTATTAGTGTGGATAAGGAAATTATTGAGATAATTTTTGTAGTAACTGAGCAATACTCCACTCTGTTGAATCTAAAATAAAAATAAATTTAAATAAAAAAACTGATGAACTAATATAATATAGGTGTTATAAGTTTAGTAATAATATCAACCATTTAATCAAATTTGAATTTACTTAAAAACATTTTGAGTGAATTAAAAAATAAAGTATAATACATATCGAACTTTAAATATATTATTTAGAAAAATAATATTTGGGCAAAATGAGTTAATAATATTCAGAAAAAGGTCGGGAACAATGTATAATTATTTTTAGAATTAAATTCAACATAATAAACCTTTTTTAATATTTTTTTTCTTTCTTATTGATGAAATGAAGCAAATATTTGTCTTCTGATATTCCAATACCAGCAAAATATTATATTTATATTTACAATAACTAATAGTGAAAATTAACTTTAAATTTGAAGTTTGGTTAAGGATTTAAGAACTAAAGATCAACAATTTTGGTTTTCAACTCAAACAATTAAACTATGTATAGTATCAAAGTATATAAAGTTGTATCACAAAAAGATCCAATCAAATGAGTAATTTAAATTATAAAAAGAAGATAACACAGTTGTAAAATAAGTAAATTTGTTTATATTTTTATTAAATATTAAAAAAAAAAATATATGTATAAATGGATGCGATTACTTTGGAATAGTGGCTGTTGGTAAATTATAGTTATAACAAGAGTATAATTGAATTTTGTACACAATATTATTTATGTCATCCCATATAATTAAATGCTAATAAAAAAAAAAATCAAAAATTAATAGTTACTTAACAATTTAATCTGACTATTTGACTAAAAGCTTAGTTTAACAGAATGCGAGTTGATTGCGTTGCCATTGGAGGGAATTGTATTGTGTATGATAAGATATTTTGGTTACATACAACAAGAATTGATAAAATAGATGATCTGAAATACGGTAGTCAATCAACAGTGATAATCTATTATAGAATCACAGCAGAAAAATCAACAAATATGACAGGATGACAATAATTTTCAATAATGTAGAGAATTATATGTATCGCCTACCATCTAGAATTTGATGGACAATGTCTGTGGCCTGCAGCAACCTTGCCAATGGGGGTAACCCACATTCTGTTTGAGAACCTTCATAGCATATAAATTATAAAATAATAAATATTATGACTATATTATTTTTTATAAACTAAAAATAAAACATTAAAGTTTAAAATATATCAAAGTAAGCATAAGTAATTGTTTAACATAGTTACAGTATTTAATTTGTTGATACATCATCAATCAAAATATTTTTTTCAAATTCATCCAGGAGTTCTTTTATGGGTTCATTGATGATTTCTGAATCAATAAACGTAAGGTTCTAAAAAGAATAAACATGTTTTTAAAAATTAAGAAACTAAGTTATATAAGAAATACAGACAAAGTTATAAAAGCATTAATACCCATTAATGTTAAAATAAAACAATTATTGTAATAAAAAATTAAGCATAATATACATTATACGTATAATAAAATATAGAAATAACCTCTTTTTGAAGTGATGTAGTAGTCACTCCGATAAAAGCCGCTATGCTAGCTGGTTCATAAACTTTATGTAAGCACTTTTGAACGTATGGTACAACATCAGTTGAAAAGCAAATGCACAGTTGTCCAAATATTTTTTTATCATTCTAAAAATAAGTTTTATTTAATATTTCTCGACTATTGCAAGCAATGGATGTATTTTCATTAAAATTAAATAAAAATATTTAACAACTACATCAATTGAATTTTGAACTCCTTTGTCATTCACACAGGATGAAACTCACTAGAGAAAAACTATATATATTAAAATTATCTCAACAATATTGTATCTATAACTTTTAGAATATTCTGATAACGTATTGGCTCTTAATTTAAGTTTTTTGGGATTATTTCTCAAAATTTAAGTTTTTAAGTTTTAACTTGACTAAATCTTAAAATAAATATTTTAAGTTTTTTAACTATTCATTTATTAATAATGTAACTTTGTATTTTGTATTATGCAACCCTCGAAAAAAAATTAAAAATGCTTAAATAAGATAAAATCAATGGAATCCACTTTTGAATACAGCATCAAAAACCACGTGAAAGATGGATTAAATAATAATTCAATTTATAAATATCATTAGTTGAGTTATATCAAAGTTTTTTTGTTTTAGGGTTCCATGTTGATTCTTACTTCTTCATAATTTTTAAAATCTTCTTGATAATACATGGAAAATAAACTACAGGAAGCGTTATGTAATGTGGTATGTAAACATTTGGTAATTTCATCAGCAGCAGCATATGGAGCATATTCTCCTAAATCATTCAGAGCACTCATAACACCGTTACAAAATTTTGCTAAAGGATAATATTCAAATACTGGTGATGGTATATCATCCACCTAATAAAAAAAATCCACATTCAAATATTAACAACAAACATACATTATAAAAATACCTTACTTCATCATGAGTTTGATTCATCCTGACATTTTTTATATTTGTTTTTAAAAATGTTTGCAAGTCTATTAGCCAAGTCTTTTCTGTTATTTTTAATAAGTCCGAAAATCGTTTTACAGTTACATTAATAAATACTGGTGCTATGAGACCTCTAAAATCTGCTCCGATATGACCCAATGATTGACCAAAATACATACATTGAGTAAAAATTGTTTCTAATGATGATGGTTGACAGTGTGGAAGATCTTTCTTGAGTATATTGAGAAACTGACATACCTAAAAACAAACTATTAACATAGATTGTTTATAGAAAAATATAAAATTAGAGAAAATTAGATACCTTTTGATTGGCCCAAGAATAATAATACTGTTGTTTTGATGACCCAACTTCAGAAGAGTTATCTTCAGAGCAAAAAATTAGGTTGTATTGGGTTGCTATACTTGAAAGACAGGATCTTAATACTTCAATGGTTTTTAATAAATGTTGACTATCTATAAAAAAAAATATAAAAACAATGGATACAAAATACTATTGTTATTTTTAAAAACAATTTTCAAAAATATAAATAAATAATTAGACAAATAAACAAATAAAATTAGAAAAAAGAAAATTCCAAAAAGTAGACATTTAAATGATACTGATTTAGGAGAAAAACAGATTCAAGATTTAAATTTATCAGTGATATTTATTTTGTAATTTGTAATATTTTTTATATCAGAACTAATTGAATGAAAAGTCGGATACATTGAAAGTAGATGACAAATTATAATTTTTATTTAAAGAAAATCCTGGTAGAAATTCAATTATTATTCAATAAAAAAATGTACAATCAATTTTTAAATTTGTAGTTTATTATCTTCTCATAAAATACCAAAACATCCTGCTGGTCAACTAACATTATTAGATGTATTTCAAAATGTGGAAATGTCATTTTATCTTACAATGACTGTCACAAACTGCTCCAGTGAAAAATAATTTTTATCATTGAAAAGAATAAAAAAAAAAAAAATTATGATCAACATAAATAAATATAATAAATATTAGACCAAAGAATGTTTAGATGTTTTGGAAATATTATCAATTGAAAATGATATTCACTTACTGCTCTCAACGGGTATATTTTCCAATTTAGAATTAAACCACGTATTTCTAGTTTGTAAAAACTTGACAGCCAACTGCTCTTCACTTAGTCGGTTTAATGATCTTAATAGACGAACAATACGCATACACTGCGGCAATTCTAACTCTGTTCTTAATTCTTGGCAGAGTGCTGACATTAGAGTTAAACGATATTTTTCTACTTCGGTATGTAATAACTAAGTTCAATAATAATTAAAAATTAAAATAAATAATAAATAATTCATAATTCATGGGTTTGAAAAATTTATATTTTAGCAATTACCTTTACAGCTGGTATATTGTTGGGTAAATGTCTAGAATGGTCTGCTAGTTTTAATGCTTCTTCATAAAGTTTATTTTGTATACAAGAAAGCATAAGTTGTGGAAGTTCAAGAGCATGGTGCATAATACGGGAATTCCAAATCATAGCAAGAGTATTACGGTGACGTTTTTCTTTAACATCTGCCCACTGTTGGAGCATTTCTTGGCATTCGGTTTTAAGTTTTAGCAAATAATTATCCAATATAACAGTTTTGTGTTGTGTTTCATCAAATTTAGTATAAACAGACTCGTAACACTGAGAAGTTTTAACAAATGTTTTATAATTACTTAAGGCTAAATCTTTGATCATGTTTACAATGACGCCATTTTTGTCTTCTAATGTCTTGTGTTCTTTACCTAAGATAAACAAATTTAGTCAAACAAATTATACCATTTATTTGTATTTTTATAGAATACATACTTAATTCTTCTGCTGTACACATTCCAAGATGATCTAAATAGGTTTTGATGTTTGGATCGGTTTTCAAGTCATCTAAAAAAGAACACACAATTATAGATATTTGAAATAAATTATTAACTGCACAGAGACTTTAGTATAAGTGTCCGATTAAAATACATATTATATTAGGTATATTGCCCGATAGAAAACTTAAAAATGTAAGTAAAAGTATTTTCATGAAAATCAAATAGATACAGTAGGTGCATTGTCAATACACAAAAATATAAAACAGATGAATTATAGATACCTAGTGGGGTAAACATCGGATCTAGCAAAGAACATAATCGATACGCTACGCCATTAGCTAATGGCCTTTTTATCATTATGTTAGACTTGGATTTACGTCTCTTCGGTTGTAAAACCGACTAATGATTTCCATGAATTCTACGTTGTAATTATATATATTATTAAGACAATAAGGCCACCTGGACAGTGGGTCGAAAATCCATTAAATCTGCGAGTTCCCCCTCGGTAAATACCTGGCATTCCGTCCGGGAAAAGTAAATCAGCCAATTGTCCGTTCATGGCGATCGTTTTTTCGATTATTCACCGAAACGATATTATATTCCGACTCGTACGCAAATAATGATTGTGGTTTGAGGGGCAAACATATTTTCAAATAATGAACCGCTATTCGCGACTGTAATTCCGTGACGCTGACACCGTCCACATCATCGGCAATCGCGTACGCGTTATCACTTATCAGTCAATGTTTTTTTTTCGTTTGTCAGGGTTACCGGTGATAACGATTACGTCCGCCGCGTGCGTGCCAGCTGCGATCGCGCGCGCGGGCTACCAGAGATTTGAGCACGTTAGTTCTCGTCCGAACGCTCCGTGTGGTAGTGGCCTCCTCCGGTTGAAATCGTTTTCCGCGCCAAGTTCTTGTGATGAAATGTTTAACGATACATAATTATTTTGTTCGTCTCTCTTGGGTTAACATGCGTAACGGATAGAATCAGTTAACGCGATCGTGTTCGATATAATATTTAAATACCCGTACTCTTATCATATTTATTATATTTCGTCGTTTGCGAGTAGGCAGGTAGATAGGCATTACCTGTGATATAGACAATCCATTGTCTATTAGTGTTCGAAAACTACACGCGAATCACAACGATGGACACGAAGCTGACATTTAGAATTTTCGCGGTAACAGGTAAGGAGGACAGTATTAATAATTATGTTTCGAAGCGGCAGCTGGTGGGAACGGTAGGATGTCGTCATAATGTCAGGTACCTACCTGTTTACGGAACCATACATACGCGTCCAAGTTGGTTTACCGAAATGTTTTTCGAAAATATATTTCATCGAGCCGATATGCAGATGTATCGTATAGTAGGTGTAGTACCTATAATATTGTCGAACGATGCCCGTTTTAGAAAATATTATGAATTCCGTTTTGATCGGAACGACAAAGAAACGCGGCCCACGTGTGGCACGGGTAGGTGTACCGAAAAGCCCTTAACAAGATACATATATGTACGCACTGTTTCGGTGCCTACTGTCCGGTAATAACCAATTAACTATCGGTAAATACCTACGATCAGCCGTTAAGACTTACGGGACCTAGGGGTAGGCCTGCAGGTATTATTCTTATGCGGATAATAACACCGCGGTTTACTATTATTACGGCGCCTTTGACGGGTACGTAGGTACACTTTTCACAGTCCTACGATTTTGCCAAATAAAGTATTTGACGTCGCCGGAGGGGGGAGGAAGAAGGATTTTTATATTATTAGAAAAAAAAAAACAAAAACATAATAGTCCTCACTCTTCACCATGTTCGGAGTCTAAAAATAAATTACGCCCAGAGAAAAAAAAAAAAAAAAGAGGAGCTGATATTATATTAAATATTAATATTGTATCAGTTTATTTTCAATGTTTAGGTATATACGGCGGTACAATATTTTCGTGTTGGCTATCTACTTTATTACGAAAAAATTTTGAATTTTTTACTAGTCAATATTGTAAAACTGTGTTACCTATTGTACGTTATTCGAGATATTAATAGCGATTTTTTTTAATAACCATGTGTAGGTACTTACAGTAGCCACTCAGGGAATTAGGATTCGAATTTTATAACGTCTCAAAAAAATAAAAATATTTGGTAAAACCACGTATCGCGGACATCAGAGCTCGCACACATTTTTCTAGGGGGACGGACAAGATCGAGGACTAAATTCAATATTTTATATTCCTAATACAATATACAATTCGATAAAAAGAACAATTATTTAAACAAGATATAATATGTATAGCCATAATAAAAACTAAGGGGGAGGGCAATCACTTCATTTTGCCTCCTTCCCTTCCGGGGGCCTATATGATTGCAGACAACCATCGCCGTCGTCGAATCTCATTACAACCTTACGGTGGTCCGAATCTATATATAGGCTTGACATTTTCTCGAGATATTAAAAATGAGTACCTTGCCCACAATTTTTTAAATTGATATGAACAAATTAGTTTGTGAAAATATGGACCCGATAAGTCACCCCCTTCCCATACGGGAATAGGGTAATTATATGGCACAAGGGGTTGTTTTTCAGTTTTTTCGATTATACCTACCTGCGCAGAATTATCTTAATAAATATAAATATTCCGGTTAATTGACTTTTTTTTTTTTTTATTAATATAAGTTCCGCGATTTGTTTAAAACGTTTGATGTGTCTACCCCGGGTATTTATAATGTGTATGTTAATAATATTACCTATCATAAAAATGATTCGCTAAAAAAATATTCAAATTAAACGTATTGGCTTTATATTTTTTTAAATCGAAAAACGGGATGGACTACCCGTCGCCCGGACGGTCCGTGCGGCTTAATACCAGAGACTGTATATAGACGTCCATCATCCCGCGATCCACCGGATTCGCGTTTGCCCTCGTATTTAATTGTTTTCAAAATAATTATAAGCCGCGATGTCACTTGTAAGGTGTTTAAAAAAAAAAAAAATTACGCAATATTTTATATAGGTGCCTCTATACTAGGTGTCCTACAGTGTTGTCCGGATGCTAATAAAATCTGTTAATATATGTGTACATTTTCTTAAACATTTTTTTTTTGCACCAGGGTTCGCGTCAGGGGGACACAAATGTAGAGAAAAATAACGTTTTCTTTTTTTCATCCCTCCGTCGCTGAATAAATTAATAAATACATTTTAAAAATAGCCATTTTGTAAAACAGGTAAGTACTTATATTATTTAAGAAAAAAAAAAAATCAACGTATCATTCATATCCGATCAATAGTTTCTTAGTAATAGCCGTTTTAATAGCTAGAGCGACAGTTCTCAAACTGCAGTGATACGCGGTAAGCAACATGGTTACAGTGCGGAAAATAAACGAATAAATATTCGTACAAATGTTTTTTAATGGATCTAATACTATATATTCTATATGAATGATATTAAAGTATTTAACCGTCTTATATACTTATCGTTTTGAAATAAATGTAAGGACATTATGAATAGTAAGTTCATTTTATAGTTATACGTAGTCACAGATCCATAATACACATAAGTGGTAAGCGAAAAAAAAAAGGTAGAGAACCTTTGATCTAGAGCAGTGGTGACCAATCTTTTTTTACAGAGAACAATGAAAAAAATAATAACAATTCTTGATAGGCCAAAAATTCAAACTTTTGTACTTTTAAGTTAATAGAATATTATATTTTATTGTAGGTAAATTATGTTAATATAGGTATAGTGATTTATTTACTTATTTATTATGCATCGATTGTTATAAATGAGAAAAAAATGTAAAGTATAAACATATCTTTTTTTAATGTAGGTGTTAATTTTTGAAATTTGAAATAAATTTTTTTTTTCAATTTTGATCAAATATTTTGGTGGGTGGGCCGATTAATAAATTAACGCGGGCCGGATTTGGCACACGGGCCGTAGTTGGTCATCACTGATTTAGAGAAAGGTGTGAAAAACGAGAATACTAATGCCACGCGATAGCGAATCCTAGTCGTAATATGTATTTATAGGTACAAGATAGGAAAAATTAAAATGTTGAAATTATAGTGGCAATTGCTAAAAAAAACTGTTGATCGGATATGAATGTGTAATGCGTTCAAATTTTTAAAATAATATATTTAACAAAATGGTTATTTTTAATATTTTTAAAAGCAATTATTTTTTTCAGCGGTTAAGGGATGGAAATACAAATTTAATTTTTCACTACGTTTGTATCCCCCTGACACAAAACCCGATTGCAAAATAAAAAAAAAATTAAAAACAATAAACGCTGACAGAGTTATTAACATTCGGATAACACTGTGTGACATCCTAGCTGCACCCGTTTCTCGTGGGACGTCAAGTCAATTAATTAACGTAGCTGCATTTTATTAGCTCCGCGGTTACTGCAGTCTAGATAAAATATCTTATTAGTTGTTTACAGATTTTATCGCAGTTTTAATTTCGCATATTATATTAGGTTTTTTTATTGGTTGATAGGAAATTGACTAGGTGTTCCGGAAAAGTGAGACGAACGAATTAAATCTGTGCGCGATAAATAAATAAAACAAGTGGCATGCAAATCTCGTATTTGATAACGGTTCCGTGATTATTCTTTGGTTTATCGTCGAAAATTAGAATACATTCGTTAACATACCGTTCCGGGATTTATATTGGTTTGCTGGTTTCCGGCATCTAAATTTCACGAACGGATCGAATGAGAATGACGAGATTTACGAAACCGATATGGGTACTTAGGTATACTTGTTTCAATCAAAATCACCGCGAGTCGAATTTGTTCGAACGAATGATACGATTCTTGCGAGATCGCGTTATTCCCCCGAACCGCCCCCCTTGGGGTATGTTATTGGTTATTACTAATTATTGTATTACATTATAATGTCGGGTTGCGTAAACGATTAAATAAAAACGGTTCGATAACCTACGGCAGTGTGACCGTACACGATCGATAAACCATTAGATATTAAATGATTTTATTGTACAGTCATGCCCTGTCGCGTAATATACCTTCCCGTACAAATTTACCGCGATTTGTAGTTTTATAGTAGAATTTGATCAGGGTAATGGATGCGGATTGCGATGCCGATATGATGGTGATGCTAATCTATTTTGATACACGGTTAAATTATTATCATCACGGTTGGGAATATGCTATTATAATCACAACCAACGCAGTGGCGGCTCGAAGCATTTTTACCTGGAATCACCGATTTAATTTTAAATTTGTTACATTTCAATAAAATTCGTCAAATCTGTCGTATTTCCGCAGTCTACAATTCTTTTAATGACTTTTGTTTCGTAAAAGCATAGTAATTTGTATTGTATTTCTGAACACCCCGACACCCACGACCCACCCACCCGTTTTTTTTTTTGTGAAACACGTGATTCAAATATACCTCATTCGAGCCGCCACCGGTCTCGCAGATAATATTTCACGCTATTCGCACTTAACAAAATTTGTGTGTCAAGACAAAATCTTTTAATTTAAGAGCTTTTAATTTACCGATCCGATACATTTAGGTGCCTATATTTGTCGAATCGATAAAATATAAAACGTCGTTTCTGCGCCGGACAATAATTTTTATCGTACCGAATGCTGTTTTATCGATTCGATACCTAGTACGAGTATAATAATAGTTATTGGTCGTTTATGCAATCCGGCATTAAAAATAGAAACAAATTATTAATGCGTTATTATTACTGTAGCAATTATGCGGGTAGTAGACTGCTTTATATTATTAAGACAAACGTAAGTATATTACGTCATAAAGAAACACGTATAGGTACATATTGTTGTGTTATACTGCACGTTCGTAGTATATGTTGAGAAAGGGATACTGTTAAACGTTCGACTGTATTATAAAATGCGCTTAAAATTTAATTTTTTTCCGATAGAAAACGTTATTGTTGTTATTGTGTCGGCAAATTTGTAAACGATATTAATCCGCAGTGAAACAACGCGAGTGTGTCCAAGTCGTATTTTACGATTGGAATATGAAAACCAACGTTTAAGTCAACGTTCGTATAAACTTAATAGTGATTGATCGTCTCGTGATGATGGATCGTGAGAACGTAGGTTTATATAATAAATCATCGTAAATAATTAGGTAATCGTTAAAATCGTTTGAATTTCGGACGGTTTGTGAAGAGTTGAAAATCGTCCCTTGTGTGTAGGACGGACGGTTATCAATAGATGGTAAAATGGATATGAATACAATATTGTTTTGATATAGGAAATCTAGGCAATCGAAACGCGCCAATTATCGAACAGCGCCTGTATATGGGCACTATTATATTGTATAAACCGCAGAGATTTCACACATACTCAGTAATAGTATATTCAGTGGCGGCACGAAGTATTTTTACCACCTTTAGTCACCGATTGGAGTTTTCATCCATTCACCTCTATCGAAAATACCCCCAAAATCCACAAACCGGAGGGGTAAAAACCAAGTTTCCTCGGGGATCTTTAATGAAATCCATCAAATTTCCGCAGTCTAAAATTAATTTAATGACTTTTGTTTTGTAAAAACATAACAGTTTTTGTTATATTTCTGAACATCCAGACACCCACGACCTATCCACCCGTTTTTTTGTGAATCAAGTGATTCATGTATACCTCCTTCGCGCCACCACTGAGTATATTAATATACAACAGTATTGGATAATATGGATAAGTATACATAATCATAACGTACCGAGTTTAATCCCGTACTCCTAAACAGGTAACGGCATTATTGGTTAGCTGTACTTTTGCGTCGGCGTATTTCCGCAACGCGAAATACAATTTACGAATACAATTCTATGTATACATCTGTACAGGTGTCCAACGAACATTCAACAAACGGAATACAATTTTTTTTTTTTTTTAATAATTACCAAAGTCTATTGGGTTATGTGTATTTTATATTTTTATGTAAACTAAAAATATAAATTTCTAACGTAAAAAAAAAAAAAATGTTTTTATAAAATTCATGATAGTCATTTAATAAAAATATATTTTAAAACAAAATGTTGGTGTTCAAATATTTACTAATGATGAATGTTCAAGTTTCTATAATTTTTTAAAGTTTATAAAATTACATTAACGAAATTATTTTTCATGGACAAATTGGTGAATCGATTGATATTTTTTGAAATTTAAGATAATTTAAATCGTTTTCATTGTCACTAATAAATAATATCAAAGGCTAATAATAATAAAATTAAATGGCTCTCTTAGTTTTTGTAAAAAAACAATTTTTTTATATTTTGTATTTATTAATTTAAACATTTTTTTATTTTTAGGTTAAAAAAAAATTATATAAAACGCAAAGGTTAGTGTGATAAATAAAAAAAAAATGTGTTAAAAGTATTAAACAGTATAAAAAGTATTGTATTTGTCGAATATTCGTAAGAAACTACATATATATATATATATATAGGTAGATGGTTTTAACATAATTAGTTATTATTTGTAGGTTAGGTTATCGTGAATATTCACGAGTCCGTACATTTACTTTTAACATAATATAAACGGTCGATATTTCAGATATTCAAGTACCTGTTAAATTACACCTCAGTTATAAAATAGGAGTATATGTACCTACTTTAGAGAGAAAGTTAATGTACGTAAGATAGATATTTTAATATGATCGTTGATCAGTAAAAGTTGGTTTAACCCTCTCGGACACTTGTATAATATAATGGAAATTTACCCTTCCGGCGGATGGCGTGATACCATAATCAGCTGTATATTTTCAGCAGCCATTTCCCTGTATAATATAGTATATACCTATATAATAAAATCAACAAAATAAGCTTCACTTGTGATAATCGAACAATGCTTTTAGCAAAATTAAATCGTAGACTTATTATTTATTTGTATACTAGAAAAAAAAAAAACCCCCCGAACGCTTCGATGTTCACATTTTGTAATTTATATTATACTATTATATTCAGTGGTTAATTTGGGTCGAAATGAACGAGAATGAATGGACAGAAATATAATATGTGAATATATTTTTATGTAAAAAGTATGAAAGGGTGTGACTCTAATTATATTAGATTTTATTATCCACAGTCATAAAAAAAAAAACCCGTATAAAATGGTCATTTATGGGTAAACATTTTTTTTTTTTAATTTTCATCAATGTTCCTAAACAAAAATTTCTATTCTATCCAAATATATTATATTTTTTAATATCGAAACACTGAAATGGAAATCATTTAATACAGATTAATTTATCATTTTTAATCATTTTTCTTGAATTATTTTTAAAATAAACTAAAAATAACGATAAACTCAATACGAATCTTGCAATTAAGTTTTTTTGCAAACTAAAAAGTTTAAACATTTCGGAGTGATACATACTAAAAATAATAGTTGAGCAAATTTTTGAAAGTTTACTAAAAACTAGGAATTAAACTCTGAACATAGAGCTGTTTAAGGTGCGTAACAATAGGTGGTTCAAATGGTTTTAAGTTGCAAGAAGATATACGTATAATAATTCTAAATTCAAGAGTTATGATTTATCATTATGTTTAAACGACGACGTGTAGCCATGATTGCAGTTTAATGGCATTTAACAAGTAAATAGAATTAAAAAACATTAAAAGTTTTTAATAATATTTTTAAATAAATAATATATCTAATTAAAAATATCACTTAATGGTTACAAACGTTGTATAGCTAATTAAAATAGGAATTGGGCAGATAGAGGTATCATCTGGGTAACGAGCAATCTATCCGCTTCACATACACATTATTAGTGTATTATCAAGTAATTTCGAAGCAATAATAAATAATCGTATTTAAAAAAAAAAATATCCGAAGGAGTTTAATTTAGGTACTATCTGTTATAATGATTATCTTTGAAAAGGATTTCAAAATTAAGGAAAGTATTTGAGTATATAAATAAATAAATGAGTGAATAAATGTAGTCCATTTTAAAGTATTATAATTTTAGTTAAAATTTTTTGTTGGGTTTCCTTTACAAAATAGACATTTGTCTTCTAGTAGTTACTAACATACCTACAGCCATATTTTTGTAGTCTGTAATCGGTACAGTACGTTAGTGCATAACTATATAATCAATATTCAAAGGATATAATATCATTACGTTTAAACTTAAAATTTGTTTTTATTTAAGTAGTTGAAATCGTTCCACACTTAAAACCTTTTGGGCTAGGAATATTCATGTATATAATGAATAATATCGGGATAGGTATGCGGCAGAATAATCGTCGCGTACCTGCTGTTGGTTGTGCATGCGATTACGTTGCTGTTGTCAATTTATGTAACGCCGATACGTACAGAGCTTCTAAATGCGCCCGGCATTAACAGGGCTTACAAACATCGAATTCTGTAATGCGTAAACTAATGGATTTCGGGTGTGTAATGGACTTTGATGACAGTATGCCTTAAATAACTGATCTTGGATTATTAAAGCGCTTTCATACACTTAATGTCCTAGTCAGTTTTCGATTTTAATATCTTTAACATTAACACGGCCATTACGTTTAACGACGACGGATGATAAAAAATTTATATACAATATTATATAATACATAATTATGCCCGACCGATGAGTCATCTCGTAAATTAAAATAATAATAACCGCAATAAACGGAAGTAAGAAGTTTTATTCAAATTATTAATAAATAATCTTGTAAATAATCAATGTAAATTTATCAACTACGACGTTTTCGATTCTGAGAATATAGCTATAAAGGTATCCGTATATTATAATAAAGGGAGTTATTTGTTTTTATTTTGTTAAAACTTTTCGGGACTGTAACGTAGTCATGCTTAAAGTTGCATGACGTAGTAACTTTATAGACAGGTAATTGAACACATATGGCGGGTACTTTGGACAAATCATTTTTCATATTTCCCGGTTTATTTCACAGAAATTCGAGGAACACTGAACAATATTGTTGAAAAGAATCAAATATGAAATTATTAATACGATTTATGAACATTTCGTATACTTATTAATATTATTACGGTACATACGTGGATTGACAATATTAAATTTACGTTTAGGTCGTAGAATCGATTTGGTTATTAGTGGTATTTTTGCGTTCGTGAATATCGGCCTACATTATAATAAAACCAATTATAAAATAGTCTACGTTACCTTCCCCTATGTCGTTCGCTTACTTCTAATTACTGTCCTTCTCGGACCGCAACCTACAATGTATTAAGCATAGGAGTATTCTATTCATATATTTCATATGGATACTAAAATACGACATAGCAATTTGCAGTCTGCTTGACGAATATTTTATGTACTGCAGTTATTTACCGCTTTTTTTTCTTGTAAATTGTGTATTTAATTGTTTGGTAAGTTCACACTGTCTGTGTGTGGGCAATCGTATAAGTAAATTATAGCTTGGTCAATTAACCCGAGTATGTGTGACCCACCGTATTTTAAATTACCTAAGTGATTTTCATTTGGTATTCTTGCGGGCGTTTTATAGTCTTATTTGTAATTAAAAATTTAGTTTCATTATACCGATGTTGGTCGCTGATCATTTTTTCACACATATCGAACGTTTAATAGCGAATGAATGGAAATCAACTGAAAATACGCGCATCTAGTAAATAATTCGAAATAACTATAATACCAATAAGACAACATTATAATACTGTCTAATGTTCTTACAGCATTTTAAAATATAAACGCGTATTACCTATTAACCTATAAAGATTAATTATTATGCCAATACAAAGTTTTTTTCTTACGTATTTCAATATTTAGAAACGGGTAATATTGTTATTCATACGCCTATTTTCGTTAATAAATTAGTTAGATAGGTACAAAACGCAATTCCATAGATAATTATAATATTGGTACCTATACTTAAACTTTAGTAATAAACTGTAGCATATTGTGTATAATATAGTATATGGAAATGCGAATATTTCCCTCACGTAGAAACATAAATGTATAATAATAATAATAATAATAATAATACTAGTGTAAACGGACTTCTTCCTCTAATATCCTATAATATATATATATAGTGTCTTTCCTTTCCTATATTTCGTGTGAACCAAAACAGCTGACTGCTATGTGCTCTTAAGATAAGAGTCTTAAATTCGTTTCAAAAACCGATTTTTTTTTCTTATGTGTTATTATTATTTTTTTCGTTTACTTTTCTAACCAGTTATTACTGATATAAGCGATATTAAATCCCGTGGTCCTGAAATTGGCGAAAACAGATGTGGCCAATAGCTCGGAATGACGTCATTACGCGCTCGTTGTAGAAAATAATGATTTATAACAATCGTATACTATATTATAATAATCTTGGCTAACTATATATTATTATAAATCCGAAACAAGAATTTTGGATGTTTTTTGATTATAATAATAATAATAATCGAATTTGTTTAAGCCATTTTGTTCTGATTATTTAATATATTTCACGATTGCGAGCATATTTATAAATCAAGGAATATTAATTGTTTAAACACATTTTTTTTTCTGTTCAAATAATTTAAAAATAAATTCGAAAAATGATAAATATAATATATATACTAATTTTGTATGTATATGATGGCCATGAACTAAAAAAATGTTTACGCCAGATTATATCGGTGATGTGTAGATCTTAATAAGATCTTAAGATTGTTACCTAATTTTTTTGTAATTTCTTCTTTACACGATGTCAACTAGCCAACTTTACAATATTAACTATATGCATAATACCTACATAACTGTTTAGAATAGAGAAGATGATGAGGTATGTAAGAATACAAAAATTAATATTTTTCAGAATATACTACGTATTGAATAATTCTGCGCTCTCTGACAGTGTGATCATAAAAACGTGTTAATTTGTCAACTAAAAAATATATTAATATTCATTTTTTATTTGTTTATTTTTAAAAACTAATTTAAGCGGACTACCCCCGGAATTCGTCCAAAAATATAAAACATAAATTGTATAAAGTTTTGTGATAATTGGTCACCCTTAAGACTACGCGCCTCAAGAGAGTTAAAGTTAAAAAGATATCTTTTTTGATTATATTTACGATAAGCAAAAAATTAATAGAATAATATATTCTTTAAATTAATTTCCCTACTTAAATTGTTACATATGCTTTTTTCACTATACAACCAATTCAACCAAACAATGAAAAACTCGTTTTTTTTTGTGTAGGTGAATGAGTCGTTTAATGAAAAATGTACTAATACAAATTATAATAGACAATTTACATTAAACAATATTTTAATTTTTGCTTATTATAAATATTTTAAGTTTTAATTGAAAAAACCAGAAACATATTTTTTGGAACTTTAACCCCTTAATGTTGATCAAAATTTAAGAAACTTATTACAAATAATTATTTTAATTTGTTTATAATTTTGAAAAAAATCGGGAGTAGTCATCCAACAATTGAAAACAAATTTCTCATCTATATAAAATTAGGAAAATATATTATTTTTTTATATATATATCGTAATTTATATTCATATTTGATTAGTTTGGCTGAGTGATACCAATACAATAAAGGCCTTCAAATAATTTAATGCCAGTATATTAAAAAATAACTACCCATAAATTTATTCTCTATTGTTTTTGAACGTCACTTATATTATATGTTCATCATTCTATAGTTTGTATTTAATTTTATTATTGTAGAATTAATTAAACGATAAAAAAAATATATTAATTGTCGACTGTCGTCGTATGAAATATAAACATGATTTATATAAATGTATCTATAAAATAGTTTCTTTTCTTTTACACCGGTTTATTATATAATATGAATTTATTAGTGTTTGTGAATATGTGAACACAAATCTATGTGCATACTTGAACAGTTTAGTTTTTAAATTCAATTTCAAGTTGAATTTAATGTCTACCTACATTAATAATAATATTCGCACAAGGTTCTAAATAAAATAAAATACATACGCAATTTTAAGTGGACCAACGAATTATATTATTACATTTATAATAAAATTATTTTGTATGTTTACTTTGTTATTATTGTATTTTACATCATTGCATTGATATATTTATCATCAATATATCTGTAGCTCATCGTTTAAACTAAATTAAAATAGGTACAATGCCTAGATGCACATCTAACTTTTTTAATATTCGAAAAATAAAATATTATTTCGCATCGAGATTAACCATAGGAAATAATTTTTTTTTTTTTTTTGATGATAGAATTATATGCATTTGAAATATATGCTTATCAAATTATAATATTTAATTTATAACATTTTACGAACTATGTATATATCGTTAATTATTTTGAAGTTAAGAATTATGGTTTAATATTGAAATAGTATATGATATTATATAGAACTTGTACAATTGTCTGTTTGAAATTTTACCAGAATGTGTATAAAATGCATTTCTCGCTATGCTCGCTCAATATCTAAAATGATGTACAAAATAGACTAAAAGTACTTATTCTAAAACGATGACAGATTAGTTTGTTTAAATGACGACTTCTACTTTATTCCATCATATGTAAACAATTCGTTGCCAAAATTGTTAACACTTATTTATCCACCGGAATCAATTCACACTTGTCTTGTCTTCTGTTGAGCTTCTAAAATATGAAATCCTGCCAATATTGTTCAATACAAATGATAAATTATTTTAAATTTTGAATGGTATACAGTATTAATTTCTATTATTTTAATGTAAATTATAAATTTTTAATACTTAATAATGCTTTAACTACATTTTTTATATTGAACAATTAAATTATTACCATAATTATTTTTTTCTTTATGTGTTTATTTGTATGAGAAATAAATGAATGATAATAATATAATCTATGTAAAATACTAATCATTGTTTTCAGATGTATAACATATTATTATATTTATTTAAATGCAACATTCTGATTCATATAACCAAAATGATATTATTGATAGCAATTAAATGTTATATACCGCTTTAGAATTTATCAGCTTGCGATTTCTATTATCCTATATCGTTTATCGTATTGTTTAGTTAAAAATTAAAACAAAGTGATGTTCAATTGATAATATTTTGAGTGATTTTAAATTGACTGGAATAATAATAATATGATTATCGTGATCAATGACCGTATTATTGTTATTATATTGAACATTAATGACATCAATGCAGTTTCCAAAAAAAAAAATCCTCTTCAAATGGTTTTGTTTCGATTGGAACTATAATATATATACAATATATAGGAATATACAGAGTGGCTTATGATGATATACCCATTGCCATATATTTGGAGATAATAAAGATAATCAAAATCTTTTTTATTTTCTTATATATTACTCACAGAGATAATAATTACTAATACCTATATTTCAATTCATATTGTATGTTTTGGTAAAAAAATAATATCTTTAATTTATTATTTTTAAAAAAATTGAAAATAGCCATTTTATAGAATTTTTTTTTCTGAATATTTTGACGAATCAAATTTTTGTTTTTATTGAATACGAGATTTTTAAAAAATGTTTAAAGTTCGGAGAAAAAAAAGTAAGTACAGTTAATTACTTAACCGTAATAATATAATAAACTAGCGACTTGATGCTTAATTATTGGTACTTTTCTCTGAACTTCAAAAAATTATTAAAATCACGAATTTAACTAAAAACAAAGTTGTTAACATTTTCAGAAATATAAACTGTACAAAAGTTAGTTATCTATACATTTTTCAAAAATAAAAAAAATAAAGTGTTATTTTACTAAAACATAAAAATTGAATTCAAATATAAATATTTGTAGTCCTTGCCCCTGCAAGTAATATATATATAAAAAAAAACAATAGCATTTGACTATTTGTATTATATCAGGAGTTATTGCATTGGGTATATCTTTGTGGGACACTCTCTCTCTCTCTCTATATATATATATATATTGTTTGATATATGTATGAAATATAAGTGAGATTCATCGTCTTTTAAATGTTAGGTTAGGATGAAATAAAAAGGAAGTCGTCCAAACTCTGATTGTATAAATGCAATTTGATTTTTGTTATTGCAGGGTTTGCACGATATTATTTGTTTATAAAGATGTATTTTACTAAAAATATCTTCCAGGACTTTGGCAAATGTTTAAGTGTTCAAAAAAAAACATAAAGAAAAAGTCCACAGAAATCGTTTTTTTTTTTCGTTGTCAGAGTTCCAAGTAGCTTTGAGGCCGTTTATTTTAGCCAATTGACGTAGGTTCACAAATATTATGTGTACGTATGTATAGAAAATAAATATTAAACAATTTTTTAACCTATTTTGGAATGTAATACATTTAAAGTTGCGCTATTACTTATACACATAACTTATATATTTGTATATTTATCTAATACATCACTATTTCTTATTTAGAAATCTAGCCTTAATCTAACCCTAAATAGTATATAAATTCAAAGTCAAATAAAAACGAAATATTTCTGTAGGTACAGTTTTAATCTGATCTTTTCTTAGTTTCAAATTCTCTTGGACACCATACACGAATAATATGGAACGTACGTATAATTTCGTACAACCATATTCTTCTTTTCACATTCGTATAGGGCGCATGATATTCTAAACATAAGTGGTTAACTAAATACATAATCAATGATCTCTAATATTAGACCCTGTCCGTTCCAACCCATATTAGATACGTACAAAACAAAATCATTTATTCAAAAGAATCTACACACGAGATCGTAGATTAACTTATTTTTGAGGAATACTTTTTTTTTTTATAAAATTTAAGTTAAAATACAAATTTCAGTCCAACTATACAGTATATGTTTATATGGTATATACTATGTATATTAGGATATACTGCGTACTAAAAAAGTAAAACAATTTTTATAATATTAATGACAATACAATGAATTGATACAAAAAAAAAAGTGGCCGTGTACATTTTTTGTTTTGGGATGTTTACAATTCAAGTGACTGAGTGGCCTCGAAATTATTTGGAGATTATAGCCGTACGGTGTAGGTTACGTCATTGCTACCCGAAACGAACGTAATAAACTTGATGATAGAAAAGAATGATACTCAGGGTTAGAGTTTCACAAAAAGGTCATACACTCGTTGAAACTTGCTCTATTTTTTGATACAAATTATTATTTATATATTTTTTCAAGGGCTCTCTACACTCTGCAATGAAGACAATTATTTAACTCTACAATTGTACAAAAAAATGTTCGCTTCAAATGAGAAATTGTTGATATGCATTATTTGGGCTATCATGTTTCGGAAGAATATATAACGTTTTGGCACTTTTATGGTAGTAAATGGAGGAGAAGGAGTGTGATATTGTAAAGTTGGACTCGATTGCTGGTTTAAATTGACATTTTAATTGGTGGATAGAAGGGGTTTTGTTTATTTATATCATCAAATACGTCATTAGTATGATAACATCGTCTTTGGTCAATAACATCACAAATCGATTTAGCGTTGAAAACAACTTTTGTTTTTTTGTTATTGATACGATGTGTGAAAATGGGTGGAGAAAAATAAGTGTCGTTTAAACATTGATCATTTAGAATATAATGAATGACATGATGCATCAGTATGATTTGCTTAAAGGCAGTTGAAAATCGAACTAAAGATAACGGAGTATGTAAAACGAAAAAAAATTGACTTAAACATTATTTTTATTCTTACGAAGATCATTATCTACATAATATTTTGTTGGGTTTAACACAGGGTTGAAACGTATAATTTAGTAAAGAAATAAAACACGTATTATACGTATGTATAAAACGTATAAAACTATTAGTTGTATACATTTTATACTGTACACAATTAGTATTTTTTTGGCTGCAATTGAACAGAAATTATAAGGTAGAATAATTTTTAATTGAATTTAATCATCATTTTTTATATCCTATATTAACTACCTAAAATATATGTGATTGTTATATTAATTACTTTATCATTATTCTTTATAAATAGCTACATTAATATGTATAATATCAAAAAATAATTTGTTTTGTTTTTATTTTATTTTAAATTTAAGAAAATTCACCAAATTCATGTGATTTGTTATATTGATTTATAAGTTTAAATACTTATTAAAATTTAAAATGCACATTATTATTACTATAATAATAAACTTCAAAAAAAAAAAAAAATAAAAATGTCAGTCTTCATAAAGTTTTATACGTTTAGTCATTTTATACGTTTTATATACGTGGGGTATCCGGTATTATACGTGTAATGTACTGTAACGTATACGTTTTGTACACGCATATTACCAACCCTGGTTTAAAATAATAATTTATATCGTATCTCATAGTTCAATTCGTATCACACATAATGCGCGATAAATATAATTCACGAACTAAACGATTACATTTAAACAGTATGAAAGATTACCCACATCGATGAAATCATTCGATAACGTCTATTCAGTTACTTCAATTACCTCTATACCTACGTCTGTAGTTAACTTATTATAATAATTATTCGCTTTACCTTAAAATTTAAAATTCACTCATTTGAAATGTCAGGGATACATTCAGAATGCCCTGTTTTTAATAAGAAGTGGTTGCTGGATTATTTGGTCATTTATTTAGGTAACAAAATAATATGTTATTTGATGTTATGTGTTATGGATCCAGTAATATTAACAGTAAATTCTATTTACTGGAGCGCATTTAGGCATTGCCAATTTCAAAAGTTAAACTTAAACTTTAAAAGAAATAGAAACATAATTTTTACATTAATTTGAATTAACGCTTGAAAAAATAAATTTCAAGTTTTCATCCACATAAAAAAAATTGGCAATTCCAAATATGTAGATTTTACTTCTCAATATTTGAAAATTTGATCACGTCTCGTAAGTGTCAATTTAATAAGTTAATAATAATTTTTTATACACACAAACACACAAATATGTCATATAAAAACATTTTAGCAATACATTCTTTGGTACGCCAACTTATAATCTGAAATGACAACCGGGTTTGCCGATTTTATTTAAATATTATTTAATTAATTGTCGATTCAATCGTAATTTGTTTAATTTTAACCGAATATAATTATTTTTTATTGTTAAAATATAATATTATTTTCTTGTACAATTTTTCATAATACGCAATCGATTAAATTAAAAATTTTAACTTGTTTGTTCGGTATTATACATCGTTTATAGTAAATTATTAGACTATTGAATCGGTTCGACTTGAAACGGTTGTAATGGGGGTAATTCATTACATTAATATTAACGAAACTCTTTTAATCAAGTCTATTGTTCGCGCGTTGTACATAAAATAATCTAGATAATTGCATGGGGTGGAAAACAATGTCTCGTAAAAATCATTCGTTTTTAATACTTATAGACAAAATAAAATCAAATAAAAATAAAAATAAAATATTATGTTATTTATTTATTCTCATGACTTATTTTGTTTATAATTAATTATTGGACAAAACGATGAGAATTTATCGACCTTATAATTAAGATTCAATGCTTCTTGTATGTAAGTTTTTACTCTTAAGTAAATCAAGTGTGTTCAAAAGTTTCATAAACTAAAATTTAAATAACTAACCATTATATAATATATATTATTCTAGTTTTTCAGTTAGCTATTTTTAGATTCCGAGCGAAGCTAAATGACTGATATACAGAGTGTTTCATTCGACTGGCACTTAACATAAAATATTTCACACTCGAATGGACATTTTTTTTTTGTGGAGGGGGAGGGGGTTTGCTAAAATACAAATTTTGAGCTAATTTTCAACATGTTAACCTTTTGTTCAAATTACTTTAATAGATACAATACAGTAATCTAAAAAGTAAACTGAAAAATATGATTTTTCTAAATATTTAGAACGCATGACTTTGAAAGTGAAGACATTGTTTGGGAAGAAGTTTCTTCAGGAGAAAAAAAATTAGAGTAAAGATAACCAGAAAGTTATAAAAAAAGGCTAACACTATTGATGAGCGTACCACTGTTTTAGACAGGGAGTTACAAGAGAGGATATTATATAATGTAATTTAATTTATTTCTACACGCAAAAATTAACTACTCTTAAAAAAAAAACGATTTTGAGCAAAGTATTTATAAGTTGTATTTTTATATTTTTATCGAGGTAACCCTAAAATTAAGAAAACATAATAAAATCACTAGTTTTCTCATTTATTAGGAAAACTAAATTATCCCTCGAAGGCGCTTTAGTTAGATCAAAAATACTAAAAGAGTAGCTTTCTATACATATACTGATCATGGGTAAACCAATACATTTATAGCTACGGTTAGAATTTAAAAATTGTATTGATTAATAAATTACAAAAAAAAAAAAAATAAGTTTTACTAAAGCACCGAATACACTGCAAAGATTGAAATGTTGTAAAATTGGACCAAAATGTGTATTTTGGAACCCCCTTTCTACAAAAAAAAATTATTTCAGTCTGAAATATTATTTGAGAGAAACACACTGTAATTTATGTAGTAACTGCTGGTTTTTTAGTATAAAAATGTGATTTTCGGAAAAAACAAGTATACTTATACCTTTATATATTTTTATTTGTAAAAATAATTATTTTTAAAGAGCGAAAAAACATTACGGTATTCTTAATTGATAGGAGAAAAGTGAACTGGGAGATGAATGAGATGCTACTTTTAACCGGTCGTTTTTCGACTTTCTGAATATTTATTATCTTAATAGAATGAATTTATACTACCTACCTAACAAAATAATAATACCGTGAAATTTACCGCACATTCGTTTTTTTTTTTTTAACTAAATTAAGTTCAATTTATATACTGTGTTCCGATCAGAATCGTTTTTCGAATGCTATAATTTATCGTTGATTTCAATATGAAAAAAATAAAAATAATAATAAAATAATAATTATAAATTAAATCACGATCCAACACCTTAAATATTATGTACATCCCGTCCGTCCCATTGCGGATTTTTATCAACAAATTAAAAACTAATACAGTCATTGAGAAATTCAAACGTATAATATTTATTTCTATAATTAACAAACCGTACGAACCATCGATATTTATGTTTATGTCAATGTTTATGAATCAATTACTACTGTATACACATAAATATATATATATATATATATATATTGAATTATATATTTCGCAATTACTAACCTTTGTCAAAATTCTTACATTTTAAATTATTTTATAATTACTTAATAATTTAACTCCGATAAATTCCGATAATATTCGAATTAATTAACAATATTTCCCAGATATTGTCCAATACGAGTAATTTCTTTTAAGCACCGGCATTAGGTTTACATATTTTAAACATTGTGTATTTTGCATTGTTGGGCCCGAATGGGCTTGAATATATTTTATTGAAATTATCGTAATATTACTACGTTGTTGTTTTATTTACAATTTCGATCAAAAAATGCAAAAATATCGTCATCATTTTTTTTCGTTAAAGAATATTAATTTTATTCGTTTATCCGGTGCATAAAAATAATTATTCTGTCATACGCATACCTTATTCATATCGAAATCGATTAATAATACTGTTTTGATATTGTATATTTTTTTATTATTATTTTTTTTAAAAACAAACCATCTACAATCTACAATCTGTGCAGTAATTTTTATATAAGGTATGAATGCATGATACAGTAAAAATGAAAAAAATAAAATCGTTTATTGGGGGAAATTTGATGTATATAGAGTGATTCAATAATTTGTTCTATTCTTTACATTATATATTTTTAATAATTATTAGTTATTACAAATTTGTAAATAAAAATCATTAAAATAGCTATTTTGTAAACTAAATTTTTGGAAAATGTCCGACATTTTAAACGAAATACCAGTGTAGCCAACAGAATTTGCTACTCGATTCACGGTACCTTTGTTTAAATATAAAAACAAAATACAAATACAAAATATATATTAATAATAATTTATATTATTTATTATTTTCAAAAACCGTTTAGAATTTAGAAACAAGTATAGAAATGTTAAAAATTAAAAAAAAAAAACTTCTAAATTATTTTTAATCTCATCTATTAACCTCCGAGGCGGTTATTGCGTTATAATTTTATTGTAATATAAAATTTCGAAATATTTACCATAAATTACCTTGATTTCGATTTTCGATACTGTCTTAAGTAGGTAACGATCGTATTGGAATATGCCCAGATAATACTAATTTTTTATGACATATATATATATAGTGTTCGTTTGTTCTCTACAATCTTCTTTAGAAGCAAGTATTGATTTTGTCCGTTTATTGTATGACTAGTATTACAATGGCCGACATAGATTTATATTTTATTCATTGACACAATTTTGAAATGCTCCACAGATGTAATACAATTAATGTATTAGTGGATTATTCGGCTAACGATCACGGTCGTATAGGAAATTAAATAATCATCATTCACCGATGTCGAATTTCTAATGGTTTTGATTAGACGAGATCGCCGTTCGATACGATGCGACGTATAAGCATGCTATCATAATATTATAACATACAAGACGTATGTTTTACTACACGAGTGTTCGGTTATTCAAATATTATCCGTCGATATAACGACACCTGCTTAAGAACACTTTTCCAATTAGTTAATTGGAACCTTTTAGATGTTTCCGAGCGTGACACGTTGGTGGGTATACGGGTAGTGAGCGCATATAGTTATCGGATCCGTATCCCATGGAAATCTACAAAAACAGTCCACGGTATTCAATTTATATTTAATTCCGCTCTATTATTTTATTATTGTCATCTTGTCATCGGGGGTTTTTTTTCTTGCGTTTTTCACTTGTTAATAATAGACGCTTCATTATCATCAGTTTTTTTTTTTTTTTTTTGTTTTTATACATTATCTTCTATTATAATAGTTTAGTTTCAGTGCCGGTGTAATATTATACAGTAGCTACAGTTAGTTTAATAACAATACCGACGTTAGGTTTTTTCTTATATGTATGCTCGTATAGTTACTAGTACATAGTTACGGTTGTTGATTTTGTTATCAAGGACATATATATATCCGTAACATTATTATTATTAATTTAAATATTATTTAAATCAATAATACATGTACAAATTAATAAATAAATATAAATTTATACTAGTCAAAATAAAAAAAATTTAAAAAAAGAGCTAATCCTGAGACGAGCGTGCCACTATTGTGGGTGGAAAGTTGGGAACATAGATTATATAGGCATAAAGCTATTTATATCTGTAAACAACGGTGAATCACTACTAACGAAAAACGATTCAGAGCGAAGTTCAGATAAACAACATATTTTGAAATATTTACGATTTTAATCAAAACTATATATTAAAACTCTTGTGAAAAAAAAATACTACACTCATTTTATTTTTTTAACCACTATGTACCACATATAATACCTTATGATAAACTCTCTATAAAATTTTCAAGCATTTATGTTTAATCTAACAATTTTATCCATAGAGAAGGTACCAAACAAAAATCACTCAAAAACTCGCAAAATTAAAATGTCTACAAATACAAATATAATTACTTTAAAAAGTTTAAAAATGTCCTGTCAACTATTTACAAATTAAGATATTCAATTTATTTCTTTGGGTTTCTATATGCATAAGTAGGTTACCGAATTCTTTCAAAATTGTGTGTACGGATTTATAGTTTAGGAGCCATGCTCGCAAAGTGGGATACAGATTAGTCTATTGGTATAAATTCATACAACTTATCTTACTACAAATCGTACAACTCATCGTTTTTATGTATTGGTAAGGGTGTCATAATACGCGTGATTAGTGTGGTGTCATATTATGTGATTACAATGAAATATTTCCAAAAATTATTTATTTACTTTTATTATAATGTTTTTATATATTTTCTTTAATACAATTTGTTTAATGTACCGATTTTCCCAAATTTCTTACGTTTTGTCCGGTTTTTCCATGTTTTATCCAGGTTTTTCACATTTGCTGGAAAAATTATTTGAAAAATCAAAAAATGATCCTTTGCAGTACCTTTATAGTAAATTTTTTTTTTAGAAACATTGCTACCATTAAAATTTAGAGTAAAATTGCATAGTAGAAAATTGGTGCACAGAAAAAAAAATTGTAATATTTTATATTATAAAATAATAAAGTAAAAACAAAATTATTAAAATGGTTAATACTCTTAAATAAAGATAGTAAATAAATCTATAAATAAAAAATGTATTATTCATATATAAATTGTTTATTTATATATTTATTAACTATATTTATTTGCTTATTATATTACTATGTACTTTATTTACTATTTTAGTAACATATTTCGTACATTTTTCCGTTTTGTTTTTTTTTTAGTTTTTCAAATTGTATGAGAAAACTCTTGAGAAAACCGAAAAATAACCCCCTTAAACCTTAAAGTACCTCTCCACACTGATTAACTTTCAGAAAAAGTGCTACGCGTAGAAATCTGAGCAAATTTTCTGGTAGAAAAGTTGCGCACAGTAAAAAAAAAATAATCATTTTTGTAAAACCATAAGCTTCTTCGATCCACTTTAAATTTAAAATACAAATTACAAAACTTATCAGTTTTAGTTCACAAGACGTGATTACAAGGAATAACATACAATATGATTATTATTATTATATATTTTATGATTATTAAATTGATCAAATCTTTTGTGCGTGGGCCCATATATCATGTTACGAATTGTCGTGTAGCGAACTTGTTTTACAATAGATATTATGCACCGATGCACGTTAAAACTTCATCTTGTACTACATATTGTACAACAATACCATACATGTTGTACGATAATCGTTTGTGAGATAGTATCAAACAAAGTTGTACAATCTTTTGTACAATTAATTATCGAATGTATCGCGTAATTTTTGCCGTGATAAATTATTATTAGAACGGTGTGTTTATAATTATTCATTATATTCATTAAGCCATTAGGTAAACAACAAAAACGTAACCGGGTTACTATATTTTATAAACAAGTCGTTCTGGTGATTCCAGTTATTATACTTTGATCAGAACTTTTGGTTCTATAGTTTACTGAAACATCATAACCGAGCAAAATGAACGGTTATGATGTTTAGTTTTTGGCAAAGTAATGATTATAGATATCTAGTGAGTACTTTTTTTTTCCATTTTCTTTTGCAACGATCATAATCTGACCTCTTAGTATTTGAGTCATGCTAATATATATAATATATTAAATATTACGTATGACATTAAGTAGAACTATACAACAGTATAAAAATACAAATAAAATAATTTATAAAATTAAAAATAAAAACATAACAAGGTAGCAACTAAGTGGTAACTAAGTTTGTCACGAAGCATTATAATGTTATGCCCAGAGTTTTTATCGATTTCAGTGCTGCTAGGGTAGCATTAATAATTTCTTTCATTGTCCCAGTGAATTTTCGTAATAGACAGAAGAGGATAATGTGTTCAATGATTTGATAAGGGGAGCTACAGCCGTAAACAGGGGAGGGAGATAATCCCCATTTGAACATAGTCGCGTTGCATCGTGAGTGGCCAGTCCTTTTGCGATTAAGCATTATCCAATTTTTGCTTCGGAGGTTAAAATCAGGCAGAGTATTTGATTGGTCGCTGATATCTTGTCTATTAATTTGCGCATTGTTGGACCAGTCCCGTTGCCACTCCACCTTAACGTGTAATCGGTCTTTATTAATCTCTGTTCATATCGGACGAATTGGAGAAGGATCTATAATTTTATCATGGATGGGAAGACTTTAAGAATATTACATAATGATGTATATAAAATATAACACATTATTGAATTTTCTGTCCAATTGTTTTAATCGCTGTAACATATTGGACAACGCTATTTCCATTGTACATTAATAAACTACACAAATGGGTAAATTTATCCCAATGCTTTCAACACAGTCATACGGTATAATGTATAAATAAATGTTACGAATTTAAACGCTTTAAATGTCTATTGAATGACTCGCGATGAAGAATAGCTTGTATCCGAGAAAATACCGTGAAATTCCGTCAAATGGTTGATCCGTAAAAATTAAAGAGTAAAACTAAAAAGAAAAAAAAACTTCAAGAGGACGTGATACCCGTCTTCGTTTTTCAAGCGTATACGATGTATCAAATTTGTGTTCAGGAAGGAAACATTGTATTGCTAGTTGTAATATTACAGTGAATTGATCTATATCAACTAACTTTTAAGTAAGACAGATAAGTGCGTTGCACAGATTAAAACATTATCTGTGAAACGTCGGTGTTTTTTTTTAAATACTTTAATTTTCAAACGAACAATTTGAATATTATTTAATTATTATATTATTTTCATATACCTACTGACATATCTCTCTTCTTTTGATTCTCATTCGCTTCCATCCTAACTATGTGCGGTCGGCCACCCTTGTTCTAAACTTCCACTTGACCCGATTTCCTACTTCGCATACACTGGCCTCATATACTCGCAAATCTCTCTTAAAAATTCAAATATGGAAAAAAATAGTGCTCATGTTGCACAAATAATATTCTTATCTTTAAGTTATAAAATAGATCGATTCACCCACTTTTGACTAGGTATTCGAATATCAACGTATATTTAAAATTCCATTAATAGATGCATTTGGTTAAAATACATTTATTATATATTGAAATTGTTGACCCTATTTTTAATTTCTATCAATCCGTTGACAAGATATTCCGCTTTTAATTTTTGGTAAGGGAATAGTCTTGGAAGAGTATTGGAGTATAATTTGTGTGACGACACGGCGCGGTTATTTAATTTTTTAAAGCTAATTGTTTCTTTAAATATCTAAAACAAGAAAATCATATATGCTATAGCGTTTTAATATGAAACTAGTTGTTTTTTTCTGTTTGTTATCAATTTGTCTACCAGAACTCTTGCTCCAGTCGTCAACATTATGGGTGGTTGGGTAACAGATTGTATTTAATTATATATAACGTGTACCGCAAGTTAATATTATAAATTGCTCAAAGCATATATTATTAGTTATTACCAGGGCTAGGATTTATATGCCACAGCATGTTTTTTTTTTGCAACATCTGATTATTGATTTTGTCAGTAATTTCCGCGAATCACCTCATGATGAGATAAGTGGCGGTGTTTTTATTTTGCATGTTTTTGCATATTTTGGATAAAATGCATATTATTGCATATTTCGATTATAAGAATGCGAAAAATGCATGTTTCGCAGTATATATCGTAATTAATATTTATAATTTAATATTAATGTTTCGTATTTAATTATAGTCTTGCTGATTAAAGTATAAAACTTGATTTTTTATCAAACATAAATTTTATTTTTATAAATACAATTCTATGGTACAATAGGAATGCGATAAAAGATTGAATAGTTTGACAGAGAAAGACTTCATGAAAGTCTACAGATTATAAAAAAAATGCTTGGAATCGACTTCTTGAGTGTAACAGAAAAGACGCAGATAAAGTTAAAAACAAAATATCTCTGATTTTACAAAAAAATAAAAGATTTAAAACTCTACAATTAATAAATAAAATATTAAATGGCGAATCGGACGAGGACAATTTCAGTTGTAATTTAATATCAGGACAAATTTCTTTATTTAAATATGCGCTAATTATGTCATGTGACGTTGAACGGAGCTTCAGTCAATATAAATCAATGCTACGATCCAATCGCCGATCATTTATATTCGAAAATTTAAAAAAAATATGTTGTCGTAGCATGTAACATACGTATTTCCACTACTGAATGTGAATTATAAATTGTATTTCCAAATTATTTATTTTATTTCTCAATAATATTATATTAAGACGAACAGCCAATCAATAATGTATTTCAATAAATAAATATTTTTTTTTGTAACTATATTTTTGTGTTTATCTTATACAAATTTAAACGCATATTTTGAGAAACAAAATGCATATTTTACAATGTTTTATTGCATACAAATCCTAGCCCTGGTTATTACATGTCGATTTACGATTTAAAATTTGGTGTGTCTAAAATAAAAATATTCAAAAGTAATGTGGTCACGGAAGGGAGCGCGTAAAAACCTGAAATGTAAAAACTTGGACGGTACAAATCTGGAATATACAATTTTGAAATCCGTAAAAATCTGGACGGTACAAACCTGGAATATAAATTGTATGAAGAAGTAATACTTGAACATTTACCACAAGGTTCTTTATAAGCTGTACACGCGGAAGTTGTTTTAAATATTAAATTCCAAATTTATACCTTTTAGATTTTTACGGGTTTCAAAATGTTGTATTCCAGTTTTGTACCGTCCAAATTTTTACGGATTTCAGAATTTTACTGTTTAGATTTGTTTTTCCAATCATTTCGTAAACCTCTTGGCAAATTTACCTCCACAATGCCCACACTAGTCAACATTTCCTTTAAAAAAAGTAATTGTACATCGGAGCAAGATTTCTTTTCGAAAAGTTGTTTCCGGACAGAAAAAAAAAAAGAAATAAAAATTAATCACTAGTAAAACCAATAGATCCCTCCTCTCACAATACGTTCTGAATGTAAATAAAATATGAGTACCGTATTATGCACCTTATATATTGTTTGAATTTTATATGGAACAGTACGATTTGTCGTAATACGCTCGCGGGCCGAGGACATTTTAATTAACTACACAACTCTGGCTCAAAATTGCCATTCCGTATTGAAATCAAAATAGTTTGGACATTAAGAGAAATTTGAGTGTTTTTGACGGACCACTAATGAAGTTGTGTTTTGACATTCGAATTACAAGGGGATAATTAAAACAAGTGACCTCAAGGTTTAACGGTTAGGTATATATAATATAATGTACGTGTTATACTCTTCCGTCGTCGTCGTAGTTGTTTCACAGAAATACAAAACTAAATATATTTTACGTTTACCTTGACGGACACACACAGTATTGCACTAAATGCATACACTGATAAATAATAAATCGGTCAATTATACGTTTGGGATTTTATCGGATCGATCGTTCGGGTATAAAATCAACAATCATATTTATCAAGTACCAATAAATCGAAAATTTCACTCGGCGTTTTTTTTTTTTTTTTTTCACAGAGAAATAAATAAGAAAACAATAACAGGACACACACTTTGTGTATATATATATGTATAAATACTATAATCAATTGACGTGTCTTATAATACTCGCACACGGGGAGTTCAGAACTAAATAAAAACAAATTTATGTAGATGTTTCCGATACCAGCTATATCCACTATATTATGCGTTATTCGAAGAGTAAAACGCATTCATGAAACTTGTAACGCACAATTTCGTAAAAACAAAATTATTTTTTACGTTTTAATAATGTTTGTGTATGTGGGTTTTTTCCATGTCGAATTGAACGGACCGAAATATATTTATTAATTTATTTTTTTTTTTTTTTTTTTTTTTTTATATGAATATTTTTTATAGATCGATTTATATACATGTTATTATTATTATATGATAACCGATAGATTATACGAGTGTTATTTTTAAGACTTTGAAAGTTTAGCTATTTTATTACAATGCGAATTGCGCGCGGCCATATAAAATTATTTCCCTGCGGTTTATTGGTTCGATATTCGGTACACGTTATAAAAAATAATATTCCGTTTTAATATCTGGAGTTGAAATATTAAATACAGAATACAATTGTCAATATTCAAACTTAATAAATCATCATACAGATATTCGGAAAAAATGCTGTATACATATTTCAAGTTTTATTATAATATGAAAACAAAAAAACACATAAATACAAATTGTTTTTTTATATTACTCACAGGGATAAGGACTACAAATATTTATATTTGAATAATTGAATTTGTACGTTTTGGTAAGGTTAGGTTAGGTCAACTTTTTATTTTAAAATTTTATATTCAAAACTTTTTAAATTCGTGATTTTTAATAATGTTCTAAAGTTCATAGTACCTATTGTAATGCGGCAGGCTGTAATAATCGAATTTGCTAATTGACTACTATTATTGTTACGGGTAATTGTTTGTATACATGTTTTTCTGCGTTTTAAAAAATTATTAAAAAAATTACGAACAACAATCTATAAAATTTCTATCTTTAAATTTTTCAAAAATAATTTTTTTACATTTTTTTTTTACCGAAACATAAAAATTTAGTTCAAATATAAATATTTGTATTCCTTATCATTGTGAGTAAATGAATAATATGTATGAAAAAAAAAATAAATAAAACTTGAATATATTTATTATCTCTTGAGATATTGCAGCAATGGATATAATATCTTCGTGGGACATTTGTATACAAATTTGTGTATCAGTTATCTGATAAGTGAATTTTATAATTTAATTTTTTTCTCGATTTCTCGATGTTTGTAATTATATAGATTGTCTATTTTTACGTACAATGAAATTTGTTTCGTATAACAGTTAAATTCCTTCGATTATACAATAACGATTAGTTATGCTATTTTATAATAATTATTACGTTATAGCTCTAAGCAAATGAAAATGGTATACTTTTCGGATTTCTATTATCGTATCATTTCAATTTTATCTTAATGGTATGCTTTCGTACTAAAATTTTACTATAATTTTAATAATAATATTTTAATATTTTTTTTTATTGTTTATTTTTTTACAGGTATGTATACATGTATTTGAAATCTTTCGTCATACTCGTACGGGATATCAAGAAGAGCTGACAACACAAATTAAATAAAAGAAAAACCTCTTGAAAAAAAAAAAATAATAATAATAAAAACCGGGCTCGGTGGTATTATGCGAGCAGTCACTATAGTAGTACGATAGGTAGGTACGTGATAGTAACAAAAGGCTGGCCGATATTATACCGTTTGGGTAGGTATATTATTATTGTATACGTATTATTATAATAACAATTATTATTATAGAGGTGTAAAGAGAGGAAGGAAACGTGTAAAAATAAAAAAAAAAAAATTAAAGAAATCATCGTTTTACACGATGTACGCCGAATCTAGAACAGGAAACACAGTGCGGTTTTGTACGCGGTGTCGCGATACCGTGGTAACGTCGCCGTCGCCGGTTGTCGTCGTAAGGGTTTACGCGTTCGACGGGTAGGTACGGTATAAACCGTGAAACGCGAAACGTTCCGGAACCGGTGACCGGGTTAGGTATATTGCGTTACAACCGCCGTCGATGCATAACCCCGGTCCTAGTGCATATGGCCGCGCGCGTGTTATACCGAGACCGGAGCCGGTATTAACTGCGATGTTTTCCACGGCAAAAATACGAACCCTTAGAAATGTCTACGTGTACCGACAAGTCGGGAACATTGTTTGATAATACAGATACGAGCGTAATAATAATATAATTTATTATTATGGTTTACGGGCATTGCGTTTTTTATTCGCGAAAAATAACCGATTTGTTTGGTAGGTAACTTTGTCATCAGGAAACAGGGAAACAGGGTTTTAGAAGGAGTTGTACACAAATTTCGAATTTATTAAATACCGTTCGAGAATATTGTCTATTATTATGGTTAACACGAAATAATAATAAATAGTCGAGTTGCCGCCAAAGTCTGGTCAATACTCGGTGCGTAATACCAAAATACGCAAGTCGCTTCTACGGAAACAAATAAACGGGTTGGTGTCGAGGTGTGGAGCTCCGGCCTTACGTATGTCCCCGCCGCCGGTGTCCGCCGATGACCGCGTTCGGGCACGTAGCCAGGGTAGGGAAGGGGTTTCCGTGGGTTCCGGAATCCCTTCCAATGACCGTGAAGTTTAAGTTTCTCGCCGAAAAATCTGATTATTGGTATACGATCGCCGGTGGTTCGTTTGTACGGAACTCGTTTCACGCAAATTCGACTTTTCCCGTTTCGCCCAAACACATTTTAGTCATTTGGAAATTGTTTAGGCAATCGTTGTTTTAATAATAATGGAAAAACGTAAAAAATTATTGTTAAAATTGTATATCATAAATAATAATTTATGTTACACACGTTTTATAGCGTTGAAATTCCCCCGAAAAACAAGACAATACGTTTATAATTGTAATATTATTTGCTCGTGAAGGTCAATGTCCGTATATCACTGAATGCATATTGCATAGAGGCCGTATAAAAAATTCTCAAATTTCGTGGGTAGCGGGTGGGGGTTACTATGGCGACACCGTCAATTTTTTTTTTTTTTTTTTTGAGAGTATACCTATACCATAACGTCTATATCCTGTAGCTCGCGTGGGACATAATATATAGTCGTGTTATAGTTTATTATAGTACCTATTGCAGGTATCAATATTATAAAACTAAATTGATATCACCAAAATAATACGTTCAAAAATAAAAACAATAATGCGATTTTTAAGAAATTTGTACATTTTTCATTTACAACTAAAATAAATAAAATTTGTAGGATACTACTATGGTTTTAGTGGCATATGCGAAATGAGCCATGACTATAATAATAATATATATCATGACGATTTTGTTTGTTTCGATAATTATTCGAGAGTATATATGCAACATAATTGTGATTTTTCAACACAATGTTGAGAGTATAATCCACGGCGTAATTGTAGTATACCCTGTGGGAACACCACTGGTTATAACCCCCTGGCGTTACACCGCTGCTCGCGGTGCCCGTGTATCATTATAAAACTTACATTTTTTCAATAAAAACAACATATTCTTAGCACTAGATTCGGACAGTCCTATTTTCTTTCAACCAGCTTTGATTAATACACAATTTTCATTCTATCAGAAATTACCTGAGCCATCTGAGGTTTATTTAACACTATGATTAAAGATAAGAATAATAAACTTGTATTATTATTATTCTGTATGATTTACCTTTAGTTTGAAATTTTTTCGCTTATAAAACTACAGTAGGTAGTCGCGTTCCTTTAATAAGTTTTTTTGTTGCAATTCAATTAAAAATATACGTAGAGAGTTGAAATTTGGACAGAAAACTTATAATTAATTTTTCTAGCCGTGTTCAAATTTTCAAAATATTTTAACAATATTTGAGCTACTTATAGACATTTTAATTTTGCGAATTTTTCACGAAATTTTTTATTTCGTAAGTACTCTGTGAATAAAATTGTTGGAACAAACAGAAATGCTTGAAAATTTAAAACAGAAGGTTCATTATACCTATAAATCGTACTTTGTGACAAAAAAAAAAAAAAAAATAAGAATTTTGCAGTAAAAATGCAGAATGTTTTTATAACAATTAGTATCAAATTTTGACGAAAATCGTAAATACTACGGCTTTTCAAAGCATGTAAGTATAACCGAACTCCGCTCAGAATCGTTTTTTATCAGCAAAGATTAATCGTTGCGTACGGATATATACATTGAATTCCTTTCTATATTCTACCTTCCTTTTTTTTCACCCAGTAGCCCACTCATCGTGCAAAGTATGTTCGACTTTTTCATTGTACTTTAGATGTCTGTACCTCGGGAAATTGTCGAGACAGACAAAAATCGTATACGCAAGTATATTATTTTTGATAAATTATGATTATTCGAATTTGTGATAAAAATAGGCGTTTTCTATTCAAGAAAATGTAAGTTTTAGATCACGCACATGTGTGTACTACCGGAGTCGACCAAAAAACACGTTTTTTAAATAGCTACGGAGCTGGGTATTTTGTTATTTTATAAATTATAAATAATATACTAAGAACAAAAAACACAAAACATTGTTGGCCAAATTAACTTTTAGATTTAAAAATTACTACTTACCGTTTCTTGATCGATGTGATACCGTGCCTATAATGTATGTTGTCTAACTACAACAAATTATGATATGCTTTAAAGGTCAAAAATGTATACCGTTGTATACGCTTAAAAGTACAATGTGTATAAAATTCAAATTATTATGAATGTAATTGTTCAAGAATATTGTATTTTACTGTTTTTTACGTTGGAAAAAATGTAGGTATTTCTGCACGTGCGTCTAAAAGAAACACACACTATAGATACTGAAATTATTGCATAATATACGAAACCCAGTCGTGTATAATTAGTTACCGTACGTAAACACGCACCGAATCTATTCGGAGGTTCAGAATATTATCGCATGGAATAATAAGGGTCGGTAATGTTTTATTAAGTAATATAAATGCTTCGTGTTTTTTGCAAAGTTAAAGAGCAAGAATTGTATTCGTATCGCGTACATATATAGTCTCAATTGGATTAGTGAGTATATAAGTCTTGATATATTATGCCTTGTTGTACGCGCACACGCAAATAGAAATACATAAACGAGCATGTATCGTCTTGAAACTTCTCTTCTTCTTCAAAAAAAAAAATAAAATAAAAATATGTACAAACTGCAATATAATAATAATAATACGTAACGAAACAAGTACGCGTACTCGTATGTACCGTGTAGGTATACAGCCATTACTTTAATTCGTTTATTTGCAGATTAAATATAGAGTCAGAAATAATTTAGTAGTACCCCCTATGGGTTCCCCCGAGAAATACACCGTAAAACTACAACCGCTTACTTTCTCGAGCTAAATAGCGTACATAATATTATTTTAACCTGCTATTTTATATATATATATCTGATAGGTAGGTTGGGTGTAACTGCGGTGTAGTAATATCATTATTGGCGAGAACCATTAATAGGGACTTTTAACGAAAACTTGAAAACCAAATTGTAAATGGACAGTAATAAAATACTCAAATAAGTGCCTAGACCTTTTAATGTCTATAAATAAATTGAAACGTATTTTATTATTATTATTATTAAGGCTTGATATACGATAGCAATAATAGCTATATATTCTGCAGTGTTATTTTCTCGCAGTTCGAAGCCAAATCGTGCATTTGAAATAATTTATTACAGTTTGTTGATTTAATCATTTTTTTTTTTTTTTCAAATGATTTGGCAATATTAGATATTTTGTGAAATATATTTATGTAATCTTTTACTTTTTCCACTCGTGGACACTTCGTCTAAAACTAATAACTTAAGTAGATATTATACAATATATGTAGTTAAAAAAAGATATATAATGTATGTATAATAATAATAATATAGGTACTACTGTGTAATCGATTGTAACATTCATATCATCGGGTAAAAATTAATTTTTTTTTCTCGAAAATTTAGAATACACACGGTTCTATAAAATATTACATTTAATGTAAAAAGATACGGATATACATTGCACAATTGTTGGGCCTCTGTTGTAGACTTCTCTTAAAAAAACACTTCATGAGCCGATAGATCAAACCATCCCTTTTAATTTTGTACTTTCCCCAGTTACCTTTCATTCCACCAGCGCAGAAATTATTTCCTATATCGAAATTTACTCTTTATTGGGTTGTCCAATGGACTTTATATTACGTATCCGTATAGACACAAAAAACTTTAAAAACGTCATGTACAATAATCATACAATTATAAGTTTAATACAACAAATACACTGCATATTACTTTTATCGGGTAAAGGAAAATGCAGGTCGTCACTGTTTATAACAAAAGGCCGATTCGAAACTGGCAAAATGGTCAATTTTTTCTGGACGTCGTATCGAGTTATATATATATATATCTAAATTATGGTTTTTTTTCCTACGTTTAATCGTGTAGACAAGGAATTTTCAAACGGATTATAGTACTCACGTATATAAAATGCCCGGAAATGCTATAATGTCTTTGACATTTTTGGATGAAATCTTTGTGACGAACAGCAACCATTTCGCTACGATTATTCGTTTATTAAAAGTCATTGTTGAAATAAATTTCATTTAGTTTATTTCAAAAATAACCCTTGCGTGTGAATTTCCTGTCCGGGGATGGACTGTCTAATAAAAACGTATATACGGCGAGAAGAAAGA